TGAGCCGATACAATGGCAAACATGGTAAGATCATAGCATCAGAATTCTACAGTTTAAATGTGCTGTATTAAGTTTTACTTTTGGAAAATTCACAGTATTTCTGAAAATGTTCTTTGTTTCTGTCTTTGTTTGAGTCTTTCCAAGAACAGTACATGACATGGTTTGAGCATCCACATTGGCTAACACGGTAAGACGTATTACATGACAACATCAGAAACCTAAATAAACTTGTGTTAAATGCGTGAATATTTTATTAAAATAATGATGATAATAATCATAATAATTAATTCACTACATTACTGATTATTGTCTTTGTTTTTATTATTGCTTCTTTCCATCTACATGACGTGGTCCAATGATCCAATAAGATGGCAAACATGGTAAGATCTTAATAACAACATCAGAAACTTCAGAAACATCAGCATAGTTTTGTATTATTTAAAAATTCACTTAATTTCTTAATTTCCTTTAGTTTGTTTTTGTAATGTGACGGTCTCTGAGAATTGTATAAATGTAAAATCTATATACAAATCTATATTTCTGAATATTTTCACCTCTTCTGTGTTTTTGTGAGTTTTTCCAACGACACATGTACACAAGTACATGACATGTTGAGCTGCCACCATGGCAAACAAGGTAAGACTTAATACATGACAACATTAGAACATATGTAAACCTATGTCAAATTTCTGAACAATTTCTGTTTTTATTTTCTTTGCATGAATCTTTCCATTTACATGACATTGTTTGAGCTGATACAATGGCAAACATGGTAAGATCTTAGCCTCAGAAACCTATAAATTTCTTGTATTAATATTTTAATATGAAAAATTTACAGTATTTCTGAACACTGTCTTCGTTTTTGTCTTTGATTGAGTCTTTCCAGCTACAGTACATGACATGTTGAGCTGCTATTAAACATGGTAAGACTTATTACATGACAACATCAGAAACTAATGTTGACTTGTGTAACATTTCTGAACTATTTCTGATTTTTTCTTTGCATGAGTCTTTCTATCAACATGACATGGTTTGAGCCGATACAATGGCAAACATGGTAAGATCATGACATCCGAATTCTACAGTTTAAATGTGCTGTATTAAGTTTTACTTATGGAAAATTCACAGTATTGCTGAAAATGTTCTTTGTTTCTGTCTTTGTTTGAGTCTTTCCAAGAACAGTACATGACATGGTTTGAGCATCCACAATGGCTAACACGGTAGGACGTATTACATGACAACATCAGAAACCTAAATAAACTTGTGTTACGTGCATGAATATTTTATTAAAATAATGATGATAATAATCATAATAATAAATTCACTACATCCCTGATTATTTTCTTTGTTTCTATTGTTGCTTCTTTCCATCTATATGACGTGGTCCAATGATCCAATAAGATTGCAAACATGGTAAGATCTTAATAACAACATCAGAAACTTCAGAAACATCAGCATAGTTTTGTATTATTTAAAAATTCACTTAATTTCTTAATTCCCTTTAGTTTGTTTCTGTAATGTGACGGTCTCTGAGAATTGTATAAATGTTAAATCTATATACAAATCTATATTTCTGAATATTTTCTCCTCTTCTGTGTTTTTGTGAGTTTTTTCAACGACACATGTACACAAGTACATGACATGTTGAGCTGCCACCATGGCAAACAAGGTAAGACTTAATACATGACAACATTAGAACATATGTAATCCTATGTCAATTTTCTGAACAATTTCTGTTTTTATTTTCTTTGCATGAATCTTTCAATTTGCATGACATGGTTTGAGCTGATACGGTGGCATACATGGTAAGATCTTAGCCTCAGTAACCTATAAATGTCTTGTATTAATATTTTAATATGAAAAATTCACAGTATTTCTGAACACTGTCTTCGTTTTTGTCTTTGTGTGAGTATTTCCAGCTACAGTACATGACATGTTGAGCTGCTATAATAGTAAACATGGTAAGACTTATTACATGACAACATCAGAAACTGATGTTGACTTGTGTAACATTTCTGAACTATTTCTGTTTTTTTTCTTTGCATGAGTCTTTCTATCAACATGACATGGTTTGAGCCGATATAATGGCAAACATGGTAAGATCATAGCATCAGAATTCTACAGTTTAAATGTGCTGTATTAAGTTTTACTTATGGAAAATTCACAGTATTTCTGAAAATGTTCTTTGTTTCTGTCTTTGTTTGAGTCTTTCCAAGAACAGTACATGACATGGTTTGAGCATCCACAATGGCTAACACGGTAAGACGTATTACATGACAATATCAGAAACCTAAATAAACTTGTGTTAAATGCATGAATATTTTATTAAAATAATGATGATAATAATCATAATAATAAATTCACTACATTACTGATTATTGTCTTTGTTTCTATTATTGCTTCTTTCCATCTACATGACGTGGTCCAATGATCCAATAAGATTGCAAACATGGTAAGATCTTAATAACAACATCAGAAACTTCAGAAACATCAGCATACTTTTGTATTATTTAAAAATTCACTTAATTTCTTAATTTCCTTTAGTTTGTTTCTGTAATGTGACGGTCTCTGAGAATTGTATAAATGTAAAATCTATATACAAATCTATATTTCTGAATATTTTCTCCTCTTCTGTGTTTTTGTGAGTTTTTCCAACGAGACATGTACACAAGTACATGACATGTTGAGCTGCCACCATGGCAAACAAGGTAAGACTTAATACATGACAACATTAGAACATATTTAAACCTATGTCAAATTTCTGAACAATTTCTGTTTTTATTTTCTTTGCATGAATCTTTCAATTTACTTGACATGGTTTGAGCTGATACGGTGGCAAACATGGTAAGATCTTAGCCTCAGTAACCTATAAATGTCTTGTATTAATATTTTAATATGAAAAATGTACAGTATTTCTGAACACTGTCTTCGTTTTTGTCTTTGTGTGAGTCTTTCCAGCTACAGTACATGACATGTTGAGCTGCTATAATAGTAAACATGGTAAGACTTATTACATGACAACATCAGAAACTAATGTTGACTTGTGTAACATTTCTGAACTATTTCTGATTTTTTCTTTGCATGAGTCTTTCTATCAACATGACATGGTTTGAGCCGATACAATGGCAAACATGGTAAGATCAAAGCATCAGAATTCTACAGTTTAAATGTGCTGTATTAAGTTTTACTTTTGGAAAATTCACAGTATTGCTGAAAATGTTCTTTGTTTCTGTCTTTGTTTGAGTCTTTCCAAGAACAGTACATGACATGGTTTGAGCATCCACAATAGCTAACACGGTAAGACGTATTACATGACAACATCAGAAACCTAAATAAACTTGTGTTACGTGCATGAATATTTTATTAAAATAATGATGATAATAATCATAATAATAAATTCACTACATCCCTGATTATTTTCTTTGTTTCTATTGTTGCTTCTTTCCATCTACATGACGTGGTCCAATGATCCAATAAGATTGCAAACATGGTAAGATCTTAATAACAACATCAGAAACTTCAGAAACATCAGCATAGTTTTGTATTATTTAAAAATTCACTTAATTTCTTAATTTCTTTTAGTTTGTTTCTGTAATGTGACGGTCTCTGAGAATTGTATAAATGTAAAATCTATATACAAATCTATATTTCTGAATATTTTCTCCTCTTCTGTGTTTTTGTGAGTTTTTCCAACGACACATGTACACAAGTACATGACATGTTGAGCTGCCACCATGGAAAACAAGGTAAGACTTAATACATGACAAGATTAGAACATATGTAGACCTATGTCAAATTTCTGAACAATTTCTGTTTTTATTTTCTTTGCATGAATCTTTCCATTTACATGACATGGTTTGAGCTGATAAGATGGCAAACATGGTAAGATCTTAACATCAAGAACCTATAAATGTGTTGTATTAATATTTTATTATAGAAAATTTTATGTATTTCTGAACATTTTCTTCTTTTCTGTCTTTGTGTGAGTCTTTCCAAGAACAGTAATTGACAAGGCTTGAGCATCCACAATGGTTAGCACGGTAAGACATATTACATGTCAACAACAGAAAACTATATAGACTTGTGGTAAGGTTCTATGAGAATATTTTATTTAAAAAATAAAAATAAATTTACTACGTCACTGATTTTTATCTTTGTTTCTGTTATTGCATGAGTCTTTCCAACTACATGATGTGGTCTAATGATCTAATAAGATGGCAAACATGGTAAGATCTTAATAAAAACATCAGACACTTATATAAACGTGTGGTAAAGTTCAGCAAATGTTTGTGTTATTTAGAAATTCACTTAATCTCTTAGTTTCTTTTAGTTTGTTTCTAAAATGTGATGATCTCTGAAAATTGTATAACCGTAAAACATATTATATTCTACAAATCTATATTTCTGAACATTTTCTTTGTTTCTGTCTTTGTGTGAGTCTTTCCAACTACAGTACATGACATAGTGAGCTGCCACAATATCAAACATGGTAAGACTTATTACATAACAACATCAAAACATGTTAACTAATGTAACATTTCTGAAAATTTTCTGTTTCTTTTTTTGCATGAGTCTTTCTTACTACATGACATGGTTTGAAACTCCACAATTGCTAACATGGTAAGACATATTACGTGACAACATCAGAAACATATATAAACTTGTGGTACAGTGCTGCGTGAATATTTAATTTTAAAAAATCACTGTTTCTGAGTGTTTTCTTTGTTTCTGGTATTGCATGAATCTTTCCAACTACATGACATGGTTTGAGCCGATACAATGGAAAGCGTGGTAAGATCTTATATCAGAAACCTATAAATGTGCTGTATTAATATTTAATTATGGAAAATTCACAGCATTTCTGAACATTTTCTTTGTTTTTTGTCTTTGTGTGAGTCTTTCCAGCTACAGTACATAACATGATTTGAGCATCCCCAATGGCTAACATGGTAAGACATATTACATGACAACAACAGAAACAAATATAGACTCATAGTAAAGTGCTGTGTTAGTATTTTATTAAAATAATCATAATAATAAATTCACTACATCACTGATTGTTTTGTTCTTGTTTTTGTTATTTGAGTCTTTCTATCTACTTGACATGGGCCAATGATCCAATAAGATGGCAAACATGGTAAGATCTTAATAACAACATCAGACACTTATATAAACGTGTGGTAAAGTTCAGCAAATGTTTGTGTTATTTAGAAATTCACTTAATCTCTTAGTTTCTTTTAGTTTGATTTTGTAATGTGACAATCTCTGAAATAATAACTCATAAACGTAAAACACATTTTATTCTACACATCTATATTTCTGAATATTTTCTTTGTTTCTGTCTTTGTGTGAGTCTTTCCAACTACAGTACATGACATGCTGAGCTGCCACAATGGCAAACATGGTAAGACTTATTATGTACTTATCTTAGATCAGAAATTTATTTCAACTTCTGTCAAATTTCTGAACATCTTCTATTTCTTTTTTTGCATGAGTCTTTCCTTCTACATGATGTGGTTTGAGCTGACACAATGGCAAACATAGTAAGATCTTAGCAATATCTAAACCCTACGTAAATTAACTCGTAGATAATTTATGCATGAATGTTTTAATCTATAAAAAGCTGAAATATTTCTGTGTTTCTCCCTTTGCATGAGTCTTTTCAACTACAGCTCTTGACATGGTGTACAAATACAATAGTAAACACGGTAAGATCACATCAACATCAGAAACCTATATAAAATTGTGGTGAAATGCTGCATGAATACTTTATTTATACCAATCACTATATTTCTGAACATTTTCTTCTTTGTTTATTTCTCTGCACGAGTCTTTCCAACTACAAGACAAGGCGGCACAAAGGAAACATGGTAAGATCACAACAACATCAGAAATATATATAAACTATTGTTTAAGTGTTCTTTACTGTTTAATTCTAAAAAAATACTATATATTTCTGAAAATGTGTTTCTGTTTTTGTCTTTGTTTGAGATTTTCAACTCACAGTACACTACATGGCATGGTTTGAGCCACTACAATGAAACAGGGTAAACATGGTAAGATATTAAATGACAACATCAGTAACCTATATAAACATGTGGTAAATCTATGAATGGAAAGCACTAACTTCCGGAATAATTTCTTTGTTTTTATCTTTGTCTGAGTCTTTTCTATCTAAATGACATGCTTTGAGCCACCAGTTTCAAACATGGTAAGAACGATTATGTAACAACATTAGAAACATACATAGTCTTGTTGTAAAATGCTGCATGTATATTGTCATCTAAAACTTATTTATCTGAATGGTTTCTTTGTTTCTGTCTTTGCATGAGTCTTTCCAACTACATGACGTGGAGCCACAATGGAAAATGTGGTTAGAAAGATCACATCAACATCAGCAAGCAATGGGAACCTTAAGCTCTGTGTCAATATTTTATTCTGAATAAAGCATTATATTTCTGTACATTGTCTCCTTCGTTTCTTACTTTCCAACTACATGACATGGTTTAATGCATATAATTAATTCATGTTTACATTTACAGAATATTTAACTACATTTTTAACTGCATGACCTTTGAGTTGTCACACTGGCAAAAACAATAGCATGTGACAACACAAAAAAGTTACTGGTGATTCATTTATTCTTGAATAAGGTTTGTGGGGTCATGGAAAAGATTTTGGGTGTTTTAGTTAACTAATTTTAATTTATAAAACTCTGAATATTTTGTGTATATGTAATTCAAAGACTATTGTAAAAGTGAAGAATGACTTATTAATTTTCCAAGTACATGCAACACAAGGGTAAACTTGAAGGAATCATGCATCAGCTTTATATATGCTGTCTCTTTCTTTCTCTTCATGATTCTAACTATTCTGTGATATTATAAGTGATCACCGTGGAAAATATGGCAAAGAAGACCAGGTGGCATCAAAAACCTGCAATCTCTTACACAAAAACTTCACATTCAGTGACGTTGAAAATGTTCTAAAAGTTTGTTTTATAAATATTTCACATTTTTTCTTTTACTTTAAAATCTAGAGTGATCAAACAAACATTTTTGTTGTGGTTTGCAGAGGCTGAGGGTTCATATCAACACAAGAAGACAGAAGGACATTTAAATAAAGGTGATAGGATGTGATTAAAAATTATATATTTTCTTTTATTGATTGATTGCTGGGTTGAAGTATATTTAACTCCATGCCATCTTGTTCAAAGCGATGGCTTTGTGGAACAGGTCAAGCTCCATTTGCATGTCATTTTTGAGTTTTCTTTTTTCATCAATAGCAAGTATTATTTGCATTGTAAGACCGTATTTCTATATTTTACATCACACTTAATGTTATTACTATTAAAATGACACCCTAATGTGATGATCCTTATTTGACATCGGCAGCATGTAACTACATGTCATTACAGCTTAATTAATATTAGATTAAGTTTAGGATAGAATAAGTTAGTTTGATCTGCATTACTGTATGTCTTATAAGATTAGAATGCACAAAACACCCAAAACTGCTGAATTCAGATTCATGTTTATTTTGACCAAAATAATACATGGCATATAATATACTGTTTGTATGAGACAAATCCAAGCCAGTACACTGAAAATAATATATTAAGCGTGTATCTGTGTACACTCTGAGAAACACTTACTAAATTACAATAGAATTGTTTTGGAACAGATGAGTGTTTGATCCTCTTAATGGACACACTGATGGTGTTTTTATCTAAAAATCCATTACCTCATTGTTTAACTGAGTTCAAATTCACAAAGCTGTCCTTTTGTCCATACGGTAATTAAATGGCCTCTGTAATTACCCTGCCAGTGTAGTTCACTGAAGACTTTTGCCTGCTGTGAATCCTTGTGAAATTCATCACCGACAGCAGCTTTGTATTCGTAATGCAGGGCACATCTGCAACACTCCTGTAATGCACAGCTGCAAGACTGTGGATGCAACAAAGACGATCCCAAGCACTCATGTCAGTGCAGTCATCAGATAAGGATGTTCATGCTCACATTCATCTGTGCTCTTCTCAGTCCTCAAAGGAATGTGCATGTACTATTCAACATTACAGGTGAGCTTTGCTTTTTCACTAATAGTTGTGCTGATGTTTCCAGAGTTGTTATTTGAGAGAGCACAACACTTTAGCACCATTTTTTCATGGGAAATCATAAAAGATCATAAGATCCTTCGAGGGTATCACAGATACAATGAACGAAACAGCATATGTACACAAGCACACAAATACTGCATATATTATGCTAATGAGTTAATTAAAACAAGTGTACTGTTCGTGGATCAAAAGGGAAATGTCTGCATCGAATTAAATAAAAAAAAGTTACATAAAGAACATAGAAAACTTTTTAAATGAAAAGAAAATGTCTACTGTAAAGTTTCAAATCACTTTTGTGAAAATAAAATGAGCACACCATGTATATTTATGCAAAAAAAACATTTATTGTGTATTTTGAGTTGCACTTATTAAATATGTTAAAGTATAAGTGGTCATAATTATTTGATAATTTAAAATATTAAACATTTATTGACAATAATTAGATAAATAAAACAGTGACAACAAAAAAAGAAGTTAAAAAAAAGAAGCATGTAATTAAATATTTTTTTTGTTGAAAACAACTGAAAAGATTGTTTGGTATAAAAATGACATTTTAGCTTGTGTCTTCTTGTAAATCAAGGTAAAAAAAAAAGTATTATTGTATATTGTTTGATACTATGAGCCAGCAGCTAGCTCTCTGCAACACTCACATGGTTGCCCACTGAAGCTAAGCACCTGGATGGGAGACCACATGGGAAAGCTAGGTTGTTGTCGGAAGTGGTGTTAGTGAGGCCAGCAAGGGTGCTCAACCTGCGGTCTGTGTGAGTCCTATACTGCCCCAGTATAGTGACGGGGACTCTATACTGTTCCGTGAGCGCTGTTTTTCGGATGAGACATTAAACCAAGGTCCCGACTCTCTGTGGGCCTAGGATCCCAGGATGTCCTTCCAAAAAGAATAGGGGTTTAAGCCTGGCATTCAGGTCAAATTTGCCCACTGGCCTCTGTCCATCATGGCCTCCTAACCATCCCCATATGATAATTGGCTTCATCACTCTGTGTGTGGTCTGCTGCAATATGGCTGCCAACGCGTCATCCAGGTGGATGCTGCACACTGCTGGTGTATGAGGAGATTGCCCCTAAAAATGTTTAAAGTGCTTTGAGTGTCCAGAAAAGTGCTATATAAATGTAAGGAATTAATATTGTTATATGAAACTGTAATTGTATGACTAAATATTTAATATTTTTGCACAAATTATTATAAAGCTAAAGCATAGACTGTACATCTTCAAATTTATTGTTCAAATTTTTTCAAAATACCTGTGATTATAAACTGTCTTGCTCTTCTTCCACTGTGTTTCTAGAATGTCTGGGACAGCAGCAACAGCAGCGTCTTCTGATCCAGTGCAGTAGCCTTGATCTCCGTGAAGTTGGCCCAGCTACATCTCTTCTCTGGGATTCTTCTCTCACTTCCACCTCCCTGTGCTCTCTTAGGATATCCAGAGCAATCTCCGCCCTTGCACTGACACTTTGCACTTTTTCACTTGACCCTCCCTGAGCTCCTCCAAACTGTTCTTCATCTATTTCCAAAATCAGCGTTTGCACGGCTCTGTCTGTAACCCTTCTGAACTGGTTCATTCTTACTGCTGCATCACTGATGAAGTGCTCCATCATCTCCAAATGCTGAGGACTTGTTTCTTCTGTCTCTGAGCTTCTCAGTTGATTGATCTCAATCATCATATACTCCCTCAAAAGAAGTATTTCCCTCTCTTTTTCCATGAGCTTAAGTCTGTCGGTTTCTCTCTCTCGCTGAAGTGCTTCATTGTATCTCTCGATTTCAGCTTTCTGTAGCTCCAACTCGATTTTTTCTCTTTGCATGCCAAGTCTTTCCATTTCCTTTCTCCTGATGTCTTGTAATTTGCTTTTTAGTTCTTCCTTCATTTCTAGTATTCTCCTTTTCATTGCTTCTATTTCTCCATACTGTGGTATCGCATCTGTTTCCTGGTCTTCTTCTGTTTGTGTCTCTATGCTTCTCCTTTGCTTGACATCTTCTGTAGGTTCTTGACTGAATTCTGTCTCTACTGCTTTGTCTTCTTTATCTTTCTGTTGTAGTAACTCATTTTCAATGTTTTCCTTGTCTTTTTCCATTATGGCTATAGTTGTTTCCAGTTGTGCCATCTTCTTTATGAATGATTCAATGATGTTCTCGATTTCTGCATTTTTCGCATCAAGGGTGTTTGATAAGACATCTTTGTCATGTGTAAGTTGCAGCAACTTTTCTTCATTTCTTGACTTCTCCTTCATGGCTTCTTCCATATTTGACCCAAAGTCCTCCATCTGCCTTTGAAGGTCAGATTTTGCTTGTTCCAGTTGGTCTTTCTCCATTTTCATCATTGTCTTCATTCTTTCCACATCTTCCATTTCTTTATTTAAACTGTCTCTCATTTCTTGCACTTCTGATGTGAGTGTGTCCTCTAACTTTGTCACAGTTGGTTGTTTTGTCTTTTTTGCAGATATTTCCTCTTCTGATTTCTTTGTTATATGTCCTCTTGTCTCCGTTGCCTCTTGGCCTTCTTGTTGAATTTGAACATCAGTTTCCCATTGAGTCGCCACACTCCTTGTCTGTCTTTGCATTTTTGTCTCGATTTGTTGCATTTCAGTCTTGATCTGTGCAAGATGCTCAATCTCTTGTGTCAGTGTCAGAACTTCAGATTGAACCTTTTCTAGGCTGTTCCTCCTTCTCTCGAGGCTCTCCATGATCACTGACTTTTCTTCTTCAGCACTTCTGCATTTTTCCTTTAGTTTTTGCAGGTCTTTCTTAGCCTCATTCAGTTCAAGAATAATCTTCATTTTATTCTCCATTTCATCATGTAGCTCTTCTTGGTCTTGTGTGGTGTCATCTGTTAGCTGGAGAACATCTTGGACTTTAGTTTCCAAGGTTTGTGCTTCTCTTTCTCCGTCTGTTTTGGCACTATCAGCGTCAGTTAGTTTCAGGGAGCTGTCTCTGTCTGGCTTTTTCTTCTCTTTGTTGTCTTCCAGTTCAGTTTTGTATGTGACTTTTTCATCATACTTTTCTCTTTCGTTGGAAGTATCATCTGTTCCTCTTTGGATTTCTCTCTCCTGTTCAGTTTGTTTCAGCTGAAGTAACTCATTTTCAATGTTTTCTTTGTCTTTTTTCATCAAAACTATAGTTGTTTCCAGTTGAGCTATCTTCTTCAGAGATGTTTCTGTGTTGTTCTCTATTTCTTTATTTTTCTTATCAAGGGTGTTTGATAAATCCTCTTTGTCATGTGTAAGTTGCAGCAGCTTTTCTTCATTTCTTGATTTCTCCTCCATGGCTTCCTCCATATTTCTCTCAAATTCTTCCATCTGCGTTTGAATGTCAGATTTTGCTTGTTCAAGTTGGTCTTTCTCCATTTTCATAATTGTCTTCATTCTCGCCACATCTTCCATTTCTTTATTTAAACTGTCTCTCATTTCTTGCACTTCTGATGTGAGTGTGTCCTCTAACTTTGTCACGGTTGGTTGTTTTGTCTTTTTTGCAGATATTTCCTCTTCTGATTTCTTTGTAATATGTCCTGTTGTCTCTGTTGCCTCTTGGCCTTGTTGAATTTGAACATCAGTTTCCCATTGAGTCGCCACACTCCTTGTCTGTATTTGCATTTTGATCTCGATTTGTTGCATTTCAGTCTTGATCTGTGCAAGATGATCAATCTCTTGTGTCAGTGACAGAACTTCAGATTGAACCTTTTCTAGGCTGTTCCTCCTTCTCTCGAGGCTCTCCATGATCACTGACTTTTCTTCTTCAGCACTTCTGCATTCTTCCTTTAGTTTTTGCAGGTCTTTCTTAGCCTCATTCAGTTCAAGAATGATCTTCATTTTATTCTCCATTTCATCATGTAGCTCTTCTTGGTCTTGTGTGGTGTAATCTGTTAGCTGGAGAACATCTTGGACTTTAGTTTCCAAGGTTTGTGCTTCTCTTTCTCCATCTGTTTTGGCACTATCAGCATCAGTCAGTTTCAGGGAGCTGTCTCTGTCTGGCTTTTTCTTCTCTTTGCTGTCTTCCAGTTCAGTTTTGTATGTGACTTTTTCATCATAATTTTCTCTTTCGTTGGAAGTATCATCTGTTCCTCTTTGGATTTCTCTCTCCTGTTCAGTTTGTTTCAGCTGAAGTAACTCATTTTCAATGTTTTCTTTGTCTTTTTTCATCATGGCTATAGTTGTTTCCAGTTGTGCTATGTTTCTCTTAAATGTTACTGTGATGTTCTCAATTTCCTTACTTTTCTCATCAAGGGTGTTTGATAAGTCATCTTTGTCATGTAGAAGTTGCAGTAATGTTTCTTCATTTCTTGACTTTTCCTTCAAGGTCTCCTCCATATTTCTCTCAAATTCTTCCATCTGCCTTTGAATGTCAGATTTTGCTTGCTCAAGTTGGTCTTTCTCCATTTTCATCATTGTCTTCATTCTCGCCACATCTTCTATTTCCATGTCTCTCATTTCTTGCACTTCTGATGTGAGTGTGTCCTCTAACTTTGTCACAATTGGTTGTTTTGTCTTTTTTGCAGATATTTCCTCTTCTGATTTCTTTGTAATATGTCCTGTTGTCTCTATTGGCTCTTGGCCTTCTTGTTGAATTTGAACATCAGTTTCCCATTGAGTCGCCACACTCCTTGTCTGTATTTGCATTTTGATCTCGATTTGTTGCATTTCAGTCTTGATCTGTGCAAGATGATCAATCTCTTGTGTCAGTGACAGAACTTCAGATTGAACCTTTTCTAGGCTGTTCCTCCTTCTCTCGAGGCTCTCCATGATCACTGACTTTTCTTCTTCAGCACTTCTGCATTCTTCCTTTAGTTTTTGCAGGTCTTTCTTAGCCTTATTCAGTTCAAGAATGATCTTCATTTTATTCTCCATTTCATCATGTAGCTCTTCTTGGTCTTGTGTGGTGTCATCTGTTAGCTGGAGAACGTCTTGGACTTTAGTTTCCAAGGTTTGTGCTTCTCTTTCTCCGTCTGTTTTGGCACTATCAGTGTCAGTCAGTTCCAGGGTGCTGTCTCTGTCTGGCTTTATCTTCTCTTTGCTGTCTTCCAGTTCTGTTTTATATGTGACTTTTTCAGTGTACATTTCTTTTTCAGTGGAAGTAACATCTGCCTTTCTTTGGATTTCTCTCTCCTGTTCAATTTGTTTCAGCTGAAGTAACTCATTTTCAATGTTTTCCTTGTCTTTTTTCATCAAAACTATAGTTGTTTCCAGTTGAGCTATCTTCTTCAGAAATGTTTCTGTGTTGTTCTCTATTTCTTTATTTTTCTTATCAAGGGTGTTTGATAAATCCTCTTTGTCATGTGTAAGTTGCAGCAGCTTTTCTTCATTTCTTGATTTCTCCTCCATGGCTTCCTCCATATTTCTCTCAAATTCCTCCATCTGCGTTTGAATGTCAGATTTTGCTTGTTTCAGTTGGTCTTTCTCCATTTTCATAATTGTCTTCATTCTCGCCAACTCTTTAATTTCATTGTTTAAATGGTCCCTCATTTCTTGGACTTCAGATGTGAGTGTGTCCTCTAACTTTATCACAATGGGTTGTTTTGCTGTTGTTGCAACTGTTTCTTCTAATGCTCTTTGCCTTCGTTCATCTGTTTTTGTAATTTCATCTAAAGATGTTTGTGTTTCAGCATCTCTTGAGGTGGTTTTCAGCTGAAACTTCTGAGATGCATCTGTTTGTTGTTTCTTTATTATTTCCTCTCTCAGGACATCATCTTCTTTCTTTAAGTGATCCTCTATCTCTATTTCTTCTGGTAAGCCATGCAGTTCTTCCTCCTGTCGTTTTGCTTCAATCTCTTTGTTTAACATGTCCAATTCAGATGATTTTCTCTTTATTTCCTCCTTGAGGTTATGAATTTCCTCTGTTGTTCTAGCTTTTTCGCCTTCCAGGTGCTCTTTTTCTTTCTGTATCATGTTTTTATCTTGTTGCAGCAAAGTTCTCTCATGCTGTACTTCAACTTCTTCCTTTAGTCTCTTTAACTCAGCTCTCTCCCTTTCAATACTCTGTTTTTCACTCTCGATGATCTTTTTGCAGTTTTCAATGTCATCTCTTTCTTTCTCAAGGAGCCTTTCAAGCTCTTCTTGTTCTCTCTGTACTTTTTCATTGAGAACATGGCTGAGTTTGTTCAGTTCAGACTTCTCTTTCTCAAGTACATCTCTTTCACTTTTGATGACTGTCATGATGTCTTCCACCTCCTTCTGCTGTTTATCTAACATGATCTTTCTGTTCTCAACCTGATGTTTTTCTGCCTCAATTGTATTCCTCAGTTCCTCTAATTCATTCTTCTGTTTCTGTAGATTCATCTGCAGTTCAACTTCTGTCTTTTTTTCAGTGTCCTCGATGGCCATTTGTTTTTCTGTCTGCACCAATGTTTTAATGTCATCAGCTCCTGCAAGTAAATCTGCTCTTAATTGCTCAAGACTTTCAATCTGAGCTCTTTTCCCTGCTATTTCCTGCTTAAACATTTCAATCTCAAGATTCAAGCTTTGGAGTTCCTCTTTACTTTTAATTATTTCCTTGTTCAAAACATCAATCTCTTCTCTTTCCTTTTCAACATGCTCCTTTTCAGTCTTTATGTCTGTTGTGAATTTCTCAAGCTCATCTGTCTGTTGCACTGCATCAGTCTTGCTTGGATGAAGAACATTCTTCTGGTCTTCAAACGTTTTAATATTGTCTTGCAGCTGCCGTCTCTCTTCATCCAGAAGGGTTTTCATGCTCTCTAAGTCATTTCTCATTTTCATGTTTTCAACAATAAAGACATCAACCTCCTGCTGCTGTTTATTTGTAGAATTTTGCCTCATTTCCAGCTGCATTCTTAGGTCATCCATTTCTTTTCTTTGCTCATCGAGTTCTGTTTCTTTGTTTTTCAGCTCATGTTGTTTAAGACTTACTTCATTCTGCAAGCTTGCTACTGCATCTTTCTCCTTTGTTATGTCAGTAATCATCTGCTCCAGTGCCATTTTCTCTTTGCGCAGTTCTTGCAAAGTCAAGTCATTTCTTTTTCTTTGTTTTTCTAGATCTTCTCTCAGCAGGTCATTCTCTGTTTTGCTCTTTTCCAAGATCTCTTTTTCTGTCTGAAGTAGCTGTACATCAGATTCCAGAATTTTAGCTTGTCTTTCAATATCAGCACGCATGGATCTTAGCTCTTCTTCCTTTTCTCTGTCATCGTCCAAAATCTTTGCATCCTGACTGATTTGAGAAGTGATTTGCACTGCTTTCCTCATTTCCTCATCAAGTTTTTCAGCCTTTCTTTGTAAATCAGCCTTGATCTCTTCAAGGGAGTCTTTTTCTCTTTGAATGCTTAGTTTATCCATGTTCATTTTCTCTATGGTATTGTCCAATTGAGTTCTTTTACTTTCATTTTCATCCTTCAACTGCTTTAACGTCTTCTTCTCCTCTTCAATACTCTCCTTCTCTGACTGTATCTCTGTTTTTAATTTATCTATTTCATGTTTTTCCATTGACAGTCTACTCAGCATGCTTTTCTTCTCATCTTCAAGTTCATTTCTTAAACACTCCAGGTTTTCCATCTCACTCTTCATGGTTTTCCGAATGGTTTCCATTTCGTGTTTTTGTTGTTGTACTTGAGCTTTCTCTTGGTAAAGTTCACTTTTCTCTCTTTCTAAGATGTTCTTTAGCTCTTCTGTCTTGTTTTTCTCTTTCTGTAAATCTGCTTCCCAGACAGTTACTTTCTCAATCTTGTTTTTAAGTTCAGTGGATTTCCTTTCTAGCTCAGCGTTCATCTTTTCCAAAGCCTTTCGTTCTCTTTGCATTTCATTCTCTTTTGTTTCAAATTCTTTTTGCTGTTTTTTGATTAGATTCTCTAGTTCTTCACTTCTAGTCTTTAATTCTGAATTCATCTTATCAATTTGATTGCTCTCTGTCACCAACCTGACTTTCACACTTTCTATGTCCTCGAACTGTCTTTGAATCTCAGCTTCTGCATGCTTCTCTTTTCGCTTGTTTTCTTCTATTAGTATATCCCTCTGTTCTCTTTCTTTTTGATGTTGAATTACTAAAGCATTTACGTTTTCCCTCTCTTTTTGTAAATCCTGCATCATTTTCTCAAGAGCATTTGTTTTGACTTGAATCTCAGTCTTCATATATAATAATTTCTGATTTTCAAGATCCATTTCTTCTTTTTGGTCATTTAATTGGCTTTGCATTTTTTCAATGTGTTCTTTCTCTCTGTTAATTCTTTCTTTAGTGGTTTCAACGTCCTCTTTTTCCTTCAGCAATTGATCTTTCATATCTGCAATCTCTTCTCTCTCTCTTTTCAATATTTGTTCGTCCTCTTTATCTTGTCTGGACCTTTCAGTGTCTACATCCCTCTTACTTTCTGAAGCTATCATGTCTTCCAGTTGTTGTTTTTGTTTATATAATTCAGACCTCTCATGTTGTAGCTCACTTTTCTTCTTTGTCATCTCATTCATACTTTCTTCTAGGACTCTTCTCTGCTTTTTAATTTCTTCTTCCATATTTACCAGCTCCTCTCTTTCTTTTTTGATTTTTTCATGCTCTTCAGCCATCTCATCCATCACTCTTTCTATAGTTTTTCTCTCTGCCTCTCTCTCCTCCATTTTGGACATGTGAAACTCTTCTGTTTCCTTTACCTTCTTGTTCAGTTCAGTCTTTTCTCTTTCTAGCATCTGACAATTGGTTTCCAGCTCTGTTTTCTCCCTGGTCAAATTCTCATTCATTTGCTCCAGGTAATTTTTTTGTTTCTTGGTTACTTTGAGGATTGCTTCAATCTTCATCATTTCATCTTGTAAATTTTTGTCACTGTCATTGTCCTCTGTTTCTACAGCCATCTGCTCTATTTCAGCTTCTTTCTTTTCTAACTCATCCTTTTCTCTTTTCATAATATCCCTCATGTTTTCAGCTTCTCTTAGTTTGTTCTGTAAGTCAGCTTTCATCTTTTCGATTTCTTCTCTCTCTTCTTTCAAAGAGTCTATACCACCATGGATTTCATCATGTTGGACTTCTGCATCAATTTTCTCTGGTTCTCTTTTCTGCAGGTCTGGTTTAATTTGTTCCAGTTCGCATTTTTCTTTCTCGTACTGCTTTCTTAATTTCTGAATTTCATCTCTTTCAATGTCAATTTCGGTCTTCATTTTTGCCAGTTCTTCTCTTCTCATCTGGAGCTCTTGATTTTCACACTCTCTCATGTTTTTTTGCTCATCCAGCTCTTTTTGTTTCAGCTCTTCCAAGCATGCCATCTCAATTTGTTTTGTTTTTATTTCTCCCTCAATTTGTTTGATCTTCTCCATCCGTTTAATTGTCTCAGACATTATATTTCTAAACTCTTCCTGTTCTTTGGAAAGTTGGGCTGCCATTTCTTCTACCCTTTTCTTTTCTTTGAGGATATCCTCTAAAAGGCTCTCTGGTCTTCTGGATTCCAGATTTTGTTGCATGAGCTCAAACTCCTCCTTCTGTTTCTCCAGATTGACTCTCATTCCATTCAGCTCATCTCTTTCTGAATTCAGCATTAACTGATGCATCTCCATTTCCAGCTGTCCCTTCTGGAGCTCAGCTTGCATATTTCCAAATTGATCTTTCTCTTTCTGTAATTCCTCCCTTTGGTTTTGTATTTCCTCCATGTGTCTTTTTACAATTTCCTCTCTTTTTTGAAGTATGGCTATAAGCTCATCTTTTTCCAATTCTTCTGTGTGCCCCATCTGTTCTTTCTCTCTTTGTGTCTTTGCCTTTATGGCATCTAGCTCCTCTTGTCTCTTATTCAACTCATCTAAGATGGTTCCCATTTGTACATTCTTTTCTTGAAGTTGGACTTCTATGCTTTCTAGTCTCTCCTGTTTGCTCTTGGTCTCAATTATGATGTTTTCCAAATCAATTTCTAGCTCAGCTCTTTCATTTTCGATATTCTGTTTGCATATTTCCATCTCTTCATACTGTTTTTCCAGATCGCTTCTGTATTTCTCCAGGTCATTTTTCTCTCTGTCAATGTCTTGTCTTATTTTCTCGATTTCTTGCTGCTCGCTCTGTAAAGCAAGTTTTGTAATTTCTAGTTCCCTTCTCTCTGTCGTATGCACTTCAGTAAGGCCATCAGTTTCATCTTTACCAGACTCCAGCTTCATCATAATGGATGGATCTGGAATGTATTTATATTGTGTTGTCACTTCAGTGTCCGCCATTTTGGTATCTTCTCTTGTTGATTTGAGCTTTTTGTCTCCCTGCTGCTTCAATTTATCTATCTCATATTCCTCTTTTGGTATGGAAGTTGTATATTCCTTAATAATGTCTGTGTGTTTCTCAACAGTCTCTCCCTGAGAGGCTGAAACGTCAGGTATGTCTTCTAGATCAGATGTTTGTGTAGCTGAACTAACCAAAATCACATCCAGCCTCTCTGATGGTTGTTTACTCTTAATCTCCAATAGCGCTTCTCTCTGATGTTCAAGGATTTGTTTGTTTCTTTCAAGTTCCTTCTTTTCCTTGTGAATTTCAGACAAAATTCTCTTGACTTCATCTATTTGTATGCGTTCAAATTCTCCTCCCTTCTGTTGAACAAACTGTCCAGGTAGATGTTCCTCTTTTAATGCTTCAAATGCTTTTGTGTCTTTTTCTAATTGCTGCTCTTTCAATGTCTTTACTTCACTGGCTTCTCTTTTGATTTCAGCCTTGAACATCTCCAGATCTTTCTTCTCATTTTGTATTTTTTGCTTTTCCAGTTTCAGTTCCTCCTCTTGAGCATCCAGATTGAATTTTGTTTGCTCCATTTCCTTCTTTAGGAGTCCTATCATGTCCTTGCTCCTTTCATTTTCTTTTCGGTCCATTAGCATCTTGGCCATCAGTTGGTCAAGTTCATCTCTCTCCATCTTTGTTTTCACTCTCATCTCCTCTATTTGCTGCTGGTGTTTTTCATAGTCAACCCTCACGATCTCCAGATATTGTCTCTCCTCATTCACAGTGTTTAAACTCTCCTCTAGTCGTTTCTGTTCTTTAATAATTTCAATCCTTTTAGTTTCTAACTCACATTTGATTTCTTCCATTTCATTCTTTTGGTTTTGTATTTCCTTCTGAAGACCATCCAGCTCGTTCCATTTCTTCATCATGTCCTCTTTTTCTTTCTCTAAGTCGTCTCTCTGTCTCAGGATTTCATTAGCCTTCTGCTCTAAAAGCTTCTTTTCTTCATCCAGTGATCTTTTGCTCATCTCCTCTTTGTCTCCGTGCTCTATCATTTGCATCTCCAGATCATCAGCTTGTTTCTGTAACTCTTCTCTTTCCTTTTCAGTGTCTTTTCTCTCTTTCTCCAAAAGATCTTTCATGGTCTCAACGTTTTTATTTTGTTGTGACTGATCAACCTCAATTTCTTCTAGCTCAGTTCTTTTCCTGTTTGTTTCTTCTATGATGCTTTCATATTCCTTAATAGCCTGTTGAAGTTTTTCATCCATTTCTGTTTTTTCTTCCATTTTGGTTGTCACAAGAATGTTACTTGTAGTCTCAAATTCATCAATCCTCTGTTGTAACTGTGTCAATTTATGATTCATTTCTTCTCGTTCTTGTTTTAGAAGGTCTCTTTGGTTCATCAGGTCTTGCTTTTGTTCATTTATGTCTGTGCTCATCTTCTCCAGATCTTCTTTTCGTCTTTGTGTTTCTTCAATGACACTCTCTATTTCTTCTTTCTCCTTTTGTAGATTAACTTCCATTTCCTTCAGTGTTTCTCTCTCTTTCTTTATTTCCTCATCCATTTCTTTGATTCGTTCATTTTCATTTTGCTGTTCAATCTTATTTTGAATGAGAAGATCTTGTTCATCTGCAATTTTTTGTCTTTCAATGTCAAGTTCTTCTTTCTGGAATTGAATCTCATGCTTCTGTTTTTCCACTTCAACCATTAATTTTTCAACTATTTCTTTGCTGTTCTCAATGTCATGTTTTTCTAGATCTGTCTGCTTTATCTTCTTGTCAAGTTCTGATCTCTCTTCTTCCATCTGCTGTCTTTGTTTCATTATTTCAGACTTCATCTTCTCCAGGTCTTCTTTTTCCTGCTCAATCATCTTCTTGTCATCATTTAGTTTCTTCTGCTCATGATCCATTTCAGATCTCACTCTTTCGAGTTGGCTCTTTATCTGCTCAATTTCTTTTCTCTCCATCTCTACTTTTACTCTCATTTCTTGTTCTTCTTCTTCTTTTTCTTTTTCTTTCTTGATCTCCTCTGGCTCAGCTTTAGTCTTCATCTCGAGGATGTTGGCTTTGGTCTCTTCTAGACTTTTTCTATCTTCTTTCATCTCCTTCTCTTTTGGTAAATCCTCTTCCTTTTGTTTGCTGACTTGAGCATCAAATTCATCAATCCTCTGTTGTAACTGTTTCCATTTATGATTTATTTCTTCTCTTTCTTGTTCTAAAAGGTCTCTTTGGCTCCTCAGATCTTGTTTTTGTTCATTTATGTGTGTGCTCATCTTTTCCAGATCTTCTTTTTGTCGTCGTGTTTCTTCAGTGATGCTCTTCATTTCTTCTTTCTCTTTTTCAAGATAAGCTTCCATTTCCTTCAGTGTTTCTCTCTCTTTCTTTATTACCTCATTTATGTTCTTGATTCGCTCATTTTCATTTTGCAGTTCACTCTTATTTTGAATGAGAAGATCTTGTTCATCTGCAATTTTTTGTCTTTCAATGTCAAGTTCTTCTTTCTGGAATTGAATCTCATGCTTCTGTTCTTCCACTTCAACCATTAACTTCTGAACTATTTCTTTGCTGTTCTCAATGTCACATTTTTCTATATATGTCTGCCTTATCTTGTTTTCAAGCTCTGATCTCTCTTCTTCCATCTGCTGTCTTTGTTTCATTATTTCAGACTTCATCTTCTCCAGGTCTTCTTTTTCCTGCTCAATCATCTTCTTGTCATCATTTAGTTTCTTCTGCTCATGATCTATTTCAGATCTCACTCTTTCAAGTTGGCTCTTAATCTGATCAAGTTCTTCTTTCTTCATCTCTACTTTTGCTCTCATTACTTCTTCTTCTTCTTTCTCTTTTTCTTTCTTGATCTTTTCCGGCTCAGTTTTAGTCTTCATCTCGATTATTTTAATTTTGGTTTCTTCTAGACTTTTTCTTTCTTCTTCCATCTTCTTCTGTTTCGTTAAATCTTCTTCCTTTTGTTTGCTAACTTGAGCATCAAATTCATCAATCCTCTGTTGTAACTGTGTCCATTTATGATTTATTTCTTCTCGTTCTTGTTTTAGAAGGTCTCTTTGGTTCATCAGGTCTTGGTTTTGTTTATTTACGTCTGTGCTCATCTTCTCCAGATCCTCTTTTTGTCGTCTTTGTGTTTCTTCAATGACGCTCCTCATTTCTTCTTTCTCCTTCCGTAGATGAGCTTCCATTTCCTTCAGTGTTTCTTTCTCTTTCTTTATTTCCTCATCCATTTCTTTGATTCGTTCATTTTCATTTTGCAGTTTAGCCTTGTTTTGAACCACAAGACCTTGTTCATCTGCAATTTTCTGTCTTTCAATGTCAAGTTCTTCTTTCTGGAGCCGAATGTCTTTTCTCTGTTCCTCCACTTCAACCATTAATTTCTGAACTATTTCTTTGCTGTTCTCAATGTCATGTCTTTCTAGATCTGTCTGCTTTATCTTGTTGTCAAGTTCTGATCTCTCTTCTTCCATCTGCTGTCTTTGTTTCATTATTTCAGACTTCATCTTCTCCAGGTCTTCTTTTTCCTGCTCAATCATCTTCTTGTCATCATTTAGTTTCTTCTGCTCATGATCTATTTCAGATCTCACTCTTTCAAGTTGGCTCTTAATCTGATCAAGTTCTTCTTTCTTCATCTCTACTTTTGCTCTCATTACTTCTTCTTCTTCTTTCTCTTTTTCTTTCTTGATCTTTTCCGGCTCAGTTTTAGTCTTCATCTCGATTATTTTAATTTTGGTTTCTTCTAGACTTTTTCTTTCTTCTTCCATCTTCTTCTGTTTCGTTAAATCTTCTTCCTTTTGTTTGCTAACTTGAGCATCAAATTCATCAATCCTCTGTTGTAACTGTGTCCATTTATGATTTATTTCTTCTCGTTCTTGTTTTAGAAGGTCTCTTTGGTTCATCAGGTCTTGGTTTTGTTTATTTACGTCTGTGCTCATCTTCTCCAGATCCTCTTTTTTTCGTCTTTGTGTTTCTTCAATGACGCTCCTCATTTCTTCTTTCTCCTTCCGTAGATGAGCTTCCATTTCCTTCAGTGTTTCTTTCTCTTTCTTTATTTCCTCATCCATTTCTTTGATTCGTTCATTTTCATTTTGCAGTTTAGCCTTGTTTTGAACCACAAGACCTTGTTCATCTGCAATTTTCTGTCTTTCAATGTCAAGTTCTTCTTTCTGGAGCCGAATGTCTTTTCTCTGTTCCTCCACTTTAACCATTAATTTCTGAACTATTTCTTTGCTGTTCTCAATGTCATGTCTTTCTAGATCTGTCTGCTTTATCTTGTTGTCAAGTTCTGATCTCTCTTCTTCCATTTGCTGTCTTTGTGTCATTATTTCAGACTTCATCTTCTCCAGGTCTTCTTTTTCCTGCTCAATTATCTTCTTGTCATCATTTAGTTTCTTCTGCTCATGATCTATTTCAGATCTCACTCTTTTAAGTTCGCTCTTTATCTGATTAAGTTCTTCTCTCTCCATCTCTACTATTACTCTCATTTCTTCTTCATCTTCTTCCTCTTTTTCTTGCATGATCTCTTGCAGTTCAGCTTTAGTCTTCATCTCGATGATTCTGGCTTTGGTCTCTTCTAGACTTTTTCTTTCTTCTTCCATCTCCTGTTTTGTTAAATCTTCCCTTTGTTTGCTGACTTGAGCATCAAATTCATCAATCCTCTGTTGTAACTGTGTCATTTCATGGTTTATTTCTTCTCTTTCTTGTTCTAGAAGGTCTCTTTGGTTCTTTAGATGTAGTTTTTGTTCATTTATGTCTGTGCTCATCTTTTCCAGATCTTCTTTTCGTCTTTGTGTTTCTTCAATGATGCTCCTTAATTCTTCTTTCTCCTTTTTTAGATGAATTTCCATTTCCCTCAGTGTTTCTCTCTCTTTCTTTATTTCCTCATCCACTTTTTTGATTCGTTCATTTTCATTTTGCAGTTTAGCCTTGTTTTGAACCAGAAGATTTTGTTCATCTGCAATTTTCTGTCTTTCAATGTCAAGTTCTTCTTTCTGGAGTTGAATGTCTTTTCTCTGTTCCTCCACTTCAACCATTAATTTTTCAACTATTTCTTTGCTTTTCTCAATGTCATGTTTTTCTAAATTTGTCTGTTGTATCTTGTTGTCAAGTTCTGATCTCTCTTCTTCCATCTGCTGTCTTTGTTTCATTATTTCAGACTTCATCTTCTCCAGGTCTTCTTTTTCCTGCTCAATCATCTTCATGTAATCATTTAGTTTTTTTTGCTCATGATCTATTTCAGATCTCACTCTTTCAAGTTCGCTCTTAATCTGATAAAGTTCTTTTCTTTCCGTCTCTACTATTACTCTTATTTCTTCTTCTTCTTCTTCTTCTTCTTCATTCTCTTTTTCTTTTTCTTTCTTGATCTCCTCTGGCTCAGCTTTAGTCTTCATCTCGATGACGTTGGCTTTGGTCTCTTCCAGACTTTTTCTATCTTCTTTCATCCCCTTCTCTTTTGGTAAATCCTGTTCCTTTTGTTTGCTGACCTGAGCATCAAATTCATCAATCCTCTGTTGTAACTGTTTCCATTTATGATTTATTTCTTCTCGTTCTTGTTCTAAAAGGTCTCTTTGGTTCATCAGGTCTTTGTTTTGTTTATTTACGTCTGTGCTCATCTTTTCCAGATCCTCTTTTAGTCGTCGTGTTTCTTCACTGACACTCTTAATTTCTTCTTTCTTCTTTTCTAGATGAGCTTCCATTTCCTTCAGTGTTTCTCTTTCTTTTTTTATTATCTCATTTAAGTTTCTGATTCGTTCATTTTCATTTTGCAGTTCACTCTTATTTTGAATGAGAAGATCTTGTTCATCTGCAATTTTTTGTCTTTCAATGTCAAGTTCTTCTTTCTGGAATTGAATCTCATGCTTCTGTTCTTCCACTTCAACCATTAATTTCTGAACTATTTCTTTGCTGTTCTCAATGTCACATTTTTCTATATATGTCTGCTTTATCTTGTTTTCAAGCTCTGATCTCTCTTCTTCCATCTGCTGTCTTTGTTTCATTATTTCAGACTTCATCTTCTCCAGGTTTTGTTTTTCCTGCTCAATTATCTTCTTGTCATCATTTAGTTTCTTCTGCTCATGATCTATTTCAGATCTCTCTCTTTTAAGTTCGCTCTTTATCCGATCAAGTTCTTTTCCATCCATCTCTACTTTTACTCTCATTTCTTCTTCTTCTTCTTCTTTCTCTTTTTCTTTCTTGATGTCTTCCAGCTCAGCTTTAGTTTTCATCTCGATGATTCTGGCTTTGGTCTCTTCTAGACTTTTTCTTTCTTCTTTCATCTCCTTCTGTTTCGTTAAATCCTCTTCCTTTTGTTTGCTGACTTGAGCATCAAATTCATCAATCCTTTGTTGTAACTGTGTCCATTCATGATTTATATCTTCTTTTTCTTGTTCTAGAAGGTCTCTTTGCTTCATCAAGTCTTGGTTTTGTTCTTTTATATCTGTGCTCATCTTTTCCAGATCTTCTTTTTGTCGTCGTGTTTCTTCAGTGATGCTCTTCATTTCTTCTTTCTCTTTTTCAAGATGAGCTTCCATTTCCTTCAGTGTTTCTCTCTCTTTCTTTATTACCTCATTTATGTTTCTGATTCGCTCATTTTCATTTTGCAGTTCACTCTTATTTTGAATGAGAAGATCTTGTTCATCTGCAATTTTTTGTCTTTCAATGTCAAGTTCTTCTTTCTGGAGTTGAATCTCATGCCTCTGTTCTTCCACTTCAAACATTAACTTTTCAACTATTTCTTTGCTTTTCTCAATGTCATGTTTTTCTAGATCTGTCTGTTGTATCTTGTTGTCAAGTTCTGATCTCTCTTTTTCCATTTCTTGTTTTTGTGTCATTATTTCAGACTTCATCTTCTCCAGGTCTTCTTTTTCCTGCTCAATCATCTTTATGTCATCATTGAGTTTCTTCTGCTCATGATCTACTTCAGTTTTCTCTCTTACCAGTTCACTCTTTATCTGATCAAGGTCTTCTCTCTCCATCTTTAGTTTTATAGTCATGGCTTCTGCTTTCTCTTTTTCTTTCATAATCTGTTCCTGCAGTGTTTGAAGCTCTTCGATTTTCTGGTTTATTTCATGATGCTCCAACTCAGCTTTAGTCTTCATCTCGATGATTTTGCCGTTGACCTCTTCTAGACATTTTCTTTCTTCTTCCATCTTCTTCTGGTTTGTTAAATCTTCTTCCTTCTGTTTTCTGACTTGAGCATCAAATTCATCAATCCTTTGTTGAAACTGTGTCCATTTATGATTTATTTCTTCTCTTTCTTGTTCCAGAGTGTCTTTTTTGTTTTTCAACTCTTGTTTTTGTACATTCATGCCTGTGCTAATCTTCTCCAGATCTTCTTTTTGTCTGCTTGTTTCTTCAATGATGCTTTTAATTTCTTTTTTGTCCCTTTGCAGATGAGCTTCTGTTTCTTTCAGTGTTTCTCTCTCATTCTTTACTGCTTCTTCCATGTTTCTGATTTGTTCACTTTTGTTTTGCAGTTCAGTCTCACATTGAGCCAGAAGATATTTTTCATCTACAATATTTTGTCTTTCAAGAGCAAGTTCTTCTTTCTTGAGTTTAAAATCATTTCTCTGTTCCTCCACCTCAGCCATTAATCTTTCAACTATTTCTTTGTTCTTTTCAATCTTATCTTTCTCTGTATTAGCTTCTTTTATTTTCTGGTCAAGTTCTGATCTCTCGTCTTCCATTTGCTGCCTTTGTGTCATTAATTCAGACTTCATCTTCTCCAAGTCATTTCTTTCCTTTTCAATCATATTTCTGTCATTGTTCAATTTCTTCCACTCATAATCGATTTCAGTTTTGTCTTTTTCCAGTTCACTCTTTATCTGATCAAGTTCTTTTCTCTCCATCTTTGCTTCTACTCTCATCTCTTCTATTTGTTGCTCTTGTTTTTCATAGTCAGCCCTCATGATCTCCAGATCTCCCTTCTCTTCATTAATGGCTCTTAAACTCTCCTCCAGTCTTTGCTGTTCTTTATTAATTTCGTTCCTTTTGCCATCTAACTCATATTTGATTTCTTCCATTGCTTTGTTTTCATTTTGCATTTCATTCTGAAGTACATCCAGCTTGTTCCATTTCTTCATCATGTCCTCTTTTTCTTTCTCCAAGTCATCTCTCTGTCTTAGGATTTCATTAGCCTTCTGCTCTAGAAGCTTCTTTTCTTCATCGAGTGATCTTTTACTCATCTCTACGTTTTCTCTGTGCGCAATCATTCGCATGTCCAGATCATCAGCTTGTTTCTGTAACTCTTGTTTTTGCTTGTCAATGTCTTTTCTCTCTTGTTCCAGAAGGTGTTTTGCATTCTCATTATTTTGAATCTGTTCTTCTATATCACACTTCTTCCTTTCAGTTTCTTCCCTAGCATTTTCACACTGCTCCTTCATAACTTTAAGATCAGCCTCGCTTATTTCCAGTTTTTCTTGCTGCCTTTTGATCTCTTCTAAAACTTTATTCAGATTTTCAGCTTCAATCTGCACCAGAAGTTTCTCCTCTTCCAGCTTTTCTTGCTCAGTTTGAATCTTTTCTTGTCGTTCCTTCAGCTCAGTTTTTATTGTTTCTAGTTCTTCCATTGCCCTGTTAGTCATGTGCCTCTTTTTATCAATAACTTGTTTCTCTCTCTGTATTTCAGCATTAACCCTGTTTAGATCAGCCTTTTCTTTCTCAGTTTGTTCTCTTTTACTTTGGAGCTCTATCTCCATCTTTTCCAGTCTTTCCTTCTCTTTCTCTAACTCTTGTAATTGAACTTCAACCAAATGTTTTTGTTGTTCAGTCCAGATCTGCAGATCATATTTTTCATTTTCTAATTCACTGCGGATCTTCTCAAGCAACTCAAAGTCCTTGTTATTTTTTTGTTTGTTCAATTCTATATCAGCCCGCATCACTTCAAGGTCATGTTGTCTCTTATTGGTTTCCTCGAGAACATTGTTCAAATGTTCCTGTTCAATTTGAAACTCAGTGTTTCCAATCTTTATTTCCTCTTCCTTCCTCTGTATGCTCAGCTCCTTTTCTTCAAGATGATTCTGTTTGTCTTGCATGATTTGTCCTTGTTGTTCAATAGCCTGAATTTGACTATGTAACTCAGCTTGCATTTGTTCAACCTCATGTCTTTCTTTGTTGGTTTTGTATGCTATTTTTTCCAGTTCATCTTTGGCTTTTTGAAGTTCCCTTGATAAATCAGCCATCTCGTTCTTCTCCTCCATCATTTTTGTGGTGCTGATCTCCAACATCTGTTTCTGCTGTTCAGTTTCAAACCTTTGTTGTTCTAGACTTTCTTTTTCTTTCTTGTTCTCCTCTCTGGTCTGATCATTCAGTCGCTGCTGCTTGAAAATCTTGAGCTGCATTTCCTCAATGTTTGATTTTTCCAAAGTAAGTTTTTCCTTCACAATCTCATTTTCTTTTCTTAAATCTTCTAGTTGATTCTTTAAAGCCATCAAGTTATTCCTCTCTTCCTCTGTTTCTTGTTTTTCACGAGTGAGGTCCATCATTTGGTCCTCCAGTTCTTTCTTTTCTTGTTTAAGTTCTTGCTTTTCCTTTTCAAGCAAACCTTTTGTATCCTCAATTTCTTGCTTTTGTCTCTTCATGTCTGCCATTTCCATTTCAAGGTCTTTGACTTTCAATTCAATCTCTTCAGACAAGCGTTTAGTTTCTTTATCTAATTGGATTTTTATTTCTCTTTCTTTCTCCTGTATTTTAATGTCTATTATGTCTTCAAATTTGTCCTCCTGTCTCTGTATCTCAGCCTTAGCATTTTCGAGATCAATAGTAGCATCTTGAAGTCTTTGACTTTCTTTTTCTATTTCTTCTTTTGTTCTCCCCATTTCAACCTTCATTTGCAGCAATTCTTCCATTTTGTTGTTAATCTTTTCTTCTCTACTTTCAATGTTCTCTCTACTTTTTTGTAGCTCGCTGTCCACTTTCTTAATCTCTTCCCTATGCATCTCTAATCGTCTGGTTTCTTCTTCCATTCTTTTCTTTTCTCCTTCAATCTCCACCCAGCAGTTTTCTAGATCCTCCCTCTCCTTCCTGATAGCATTTTGGATCTCCTTGGATTCTGACCTCATCTTTTCTAGTGCGTTTTTCTCATCTTCCACATTTGCTTTTTCATGTCTCAGACTTTCTAATTGCCTTTCTAGATTGCTTTTCATGTTTTGGAGATCTTTCTTCTCTTGTTCTATCTGATTTTTACTGATTTCAAGTTGTTCTTTTTCTCTTTGTAGTTCTTCAATAAGCTTCCTGTATTCATTTTGTTCAGTCGTCACTGTTTCACTCATTTCCGCTAATTGCTTTCTGCACTCTTCAGTTTCAGCTTTAGCCTGTTTTAAATGTTTCTGTTCTTCCATGAATACTCTGTTTTCAAGTTCACTTTCCTGACTTTGCAATGCACCTTGAAGCAAAAGCAATTTCTGTCTTTCTGAATGTACATTTTCCATCTCTTTTGCAAATTCATTCCTTTTCTTCAAAATGTCCACCTTCATTACCTCTAGAGCTTCTGTCTGATTTTCAATATCTCGTTTGGCCATCTCATCTTGTTCTCTCTGCTGTAAGATTTTTCTTTCCAGATCTTCTGTTTCTCTTACTAGCTCTTCCCTTTTAAGCTCCAAATGTGTCATGTCCTTTTCATAAGCATCCCTGTCATTTTTCAGTCGTATCTTGTCATCTTGAAGTTCTCTGCTCATTCTATCGAGACTTCTCTTCTTGGTTTCCATTTCTGTGTTGGTTTTCTCAATATCCTGTCTTTGCATTTGAAGTTTCATGCTGAGGTCTTTTAATCGGTCGCTCTCACTGTTTGCATCCTGAAGGAGTTTATCTGCTATCTCTGTCTTCTTTTGAAGCTTCTCGTGGCCATCTTCAATCTCTTGAGTCTGTTTTCTCATTTCTTCTTTTTCTTGTTCAATCTTAACCCTCTCTGTTTTGACCATCTGCTTCATTTCTTCTACTTGCTCTTTTTCTTTGTTTAGTTCATTCTTCATCTGTTGTAGCTTCTGCTCCATCTTTGCAGCATCATTAAGGCTTTCAGCAAGTTTAGCCCTTTGATTTTCTAGATCATTTTCCATGTTTTCTAAACGTTTATGTTCTTTTTCAAAGGCAGCGCTCATTTCATTCCTTTGGTGATCAATTTTTAGCTTAAACTGATCCTTTTCCATTATCAAAGCTTGTCTTGAAGATTCAACTTCATCTCTCTGTCTTTGTAGTTCACCTCTGAAAAGCTCTGTCTCTTGTTTCTCTCTCCTTAAATTCTCCTTTTCTTTTTCCATATCTTCTCTCTTCTGAAGTATTTCCATATTGATACTTTCAAGAGTAACTTTCATCATCTCTATTTCTTCAATAATCCAACCATTCTCCTCCAACTTCTTTTTCTGCTTTTCCAGGATCTGCTCTCTCTTCTGTATCTCAGAAGTGATATGTTCAAGTTCAGCCTTCTTCTTTATATACTGTATATCCACTTCTTCCAAAGTCTGCATCAGATGCTGTACATCTGAGTTGAGCTGCTCCAGATTCCTCTTCTTTGTCAGGAGTTCTTCAGTGACTATTTGTAGTTCTTCCTTGTATTTCTGTACATCTGTAAAGCCTTTAACTTCTCCTTCATATATTTCAGACTCAACTAGCTCCCTGCTGATTTCAATATCCTCTTTTTCTCGGTTGATGTCTTTCTTCAGTTGCTCCAGTTCTTCTTTTTCTTTCTGCAGGATTTCCCTCATGCTCTCCTCCTCCTGTTGTTTCTCTTCAAGTTCTGCCTTCATCTTCTCCAAATTACTCTTGTCTCTCTTGGTGTTTTCTATCTCAGTTTTAAGGCCTCCTAGATTTTCCCTTATTTGTCCAATATCTTGAATGAGCCTCTGGATCTCAGACTTAAATATTTCTTTTTCATCTATCTCCACCTTACTTTCCTCCATCCTTCTCTCCATTTCACCTTTTAGATTTCTCACCATTTCCCTGATTTTCACAACCTCTAAAACTAATCTTTCAATGTCAGTTGCGGCACTTTCCTCAACCTCTAGATTTGCAGTTCTTTCCACTAGACGTTCAAAATCCTGTCTTGCACTTTGAACATTATCCCTGAGTATTTCCAGCTCCTGCCTTTCTCCATCGATTTCTACTCTGGCATTTGCTATATCAAATCTGATTTTCTCCATCTCGTCCCTCTTTCTTATCACTTGCTTCATCTTCTGATCAAGGTCTTTCTTTTCTAGGACAATCTCAGACCTTAAAACTTCCATCTCTCTCTTCTCATGTGTGAGTTTCTGAATACTGGTTTCTAGATCTTCTCTTTGTCTTTGTAGTTCACTTCTGAATAGATCCATCTCTTGCTTTTCTTGCCTTAACTTTCCCTTTTCTTTATCCATATCTTCATTCTTCCTAAGTATTTCCATATTGATCTTTTCAAGTGAATCTTTCTTATTCTTTATTTCTTCCACAATCCAGCCATTCTCCTTTAATTCATCTTTCTGTTTTTCCAGTAACTGTTCTCCCTTCTTTAACTCAAAACCAATGCCTTCCAGTTCAGCCCTTTTCTTTCCATGCTGTATATTAATTTCTTCTATGGTTTGCCTCAGGTCCTGTACATCTGAGTTGAGCTGGTCTAGATCCCTCTTCTTTGTCAGGAGTTCTTCAGTGACACTTTGTAGTTCTTCCTTGTATTTCTGTATGTCTGTAAACTCTTTCATTTCTTCTTTATCTATTACTGCCTCAACTAGCTCTCTCCTGATTTCAACATCCTCCTTTTCTCGGTTGATCTCATCCTTTAGCTGCTCCAGTTCTTCTCTTTCTTTATGGAGCATTTCTCTCATGCTCTCTTGCTCCTGTTGTTTCTCTGCAAGCTCTGCCCTCATCTTCTCCAATTCTCTCTTGTCTCTCCTGGTTTTTTCTATCTCCTCTCCAAGGCCTCCTAGATTTTCCCTTATTTGTCCAATATCCTGGATGAACCTCTGGATCTCAGACTTAAATATTTCTTTTTCATCTATCTCCACCTTACTTTTCTCCATCCTTCTCTCCATTTCACCTTTTAGATTTCTCACCATTTCCCTGATTTTCACAACCTCTAAAACTAACCTTTCAATGTCAGTTGCAGCACTTTCCTCATCTTCTAGATTTGCAGTTCTTTCCAGCAGAAGTTCAAAATCATGTCTTGCACTTTGAACATTGTTCCTGAGTATTTCCAGCTCCTGCCTTTCTCTGTTGATCTCCTCTGTGGCATTTGCTATATCAGATCTGATTTTCTCCATCTCGTCCCTCTTTCTTATCACTTGCTTCATCTTCTGATCCAGGTCTTTCTTTTCTAGGACAATCTCAGACCTCAGGACCTCCAGATCTCTCTTCTCAAGGGTCAATTTCTGAATTCTTGTTTCTAGATCGTCTTTCTGTCTTTGGATTTCTATCAGCTCCAATTCTCTTGTTTTACTGTCTGTGTCCTTTTCATGTTTTAATATTTCAGACCTTGTTTTTTCAAGATCATCCATCTGTTGTTTTAAATCTGCTTTGGTTTTCTTAAGTTCTGTCTGCTGTTGTAGCAGATCAGCCTTCAACTCTATCAGTTTGTCTATCTGTCTCTTTAGTTCGACCATCTGATTCTTACTTGCTTCTTGGAAGTCTTCCATGCTCAGTGCTTCCATTTTCTGCATTAATTCCTCAGAATCTCTCCTTGTTGCTTGAGCTGTTTCTGTCGCTCTTTCTCTAGTTGCCTCTTCTCGAAGGCTTTCAAGATTCTCAATTATTTTTATTACGTCAGCCTTTTCTCTCTCCAGTAATTCATTTTCAGCAAGGAGTTTTTGTTTGTCCAATGCCATTATTTGTTTTTGTCTCTCCAAATCAGCCCTGTTCTGCTCAAGATCATTTCTCTCTCTACTTAGCAACATTTTGCTACTCTCTATTTGCTGTTTCTCTTTTTGTATCTCATCATTCTGCTGCTCATAAGTTTTTTCCATGTTCTTTTTCATGGTTAAGAATTCAAGCTTCATGTTCTCCAGTTCAGACCTTTCTTTTCTGGCTGCCTGGACTTCATCCTTCATCCCTCTAAGAGTTTCTCTGGCATGCTCAATTTCCAGGATCATTCTCTGCATGTTAGCACTCATATCTTGCCTTTCCACTGACTCCTCTTCAACACTAACCTCTCTCTGCATTCTCATTTCTGGTTCATGTTTTGTACTCCAAGCCATTTTGCTAGCCTTTTCAGCCTCTTGAATAAGCCTCTGAATCCTGGTGTTCACCGGTTCTTTCTCTCCAAGATCTCCTGCTCTTTCTTCAGCATGAGATTGCATGTGCTCTGTTGCTCTTTGTGACTCAGTTTTAATCCGCTCCAACTCATCACGTTCTGTATTTAACATGACCCTGTCCACTTCAAGTTTTTTACTTGCACTTTCAACATCAGCCTTCATTTTCTCCAGCTCATCTCTTTTTCTTGCTACCTGTCTCATCTTGTTGTCAACATCTTTTCTTTTGCCATCAGTTTCATCCTGAAGAAGCTTAAGTTCAATCATTTCACGTTTAATCTTCTGCATCTTGTCTTCTAATTCCTCTTCTGACCTCTGTAGTTTCTTTTTCTCTTGTTGGATTTCTCGCTCTGATTCAATCTTCTGTTTAACCATCTCTTCTTTCTGTTTGACAACTTTTGCTTGGATGAGATCTAGTTCTTGGTGCCTCAACCTTATTTCGGCCTTGTCCTTTTCAATGGCCTCTTCCTTTTTAAACAGGTTCCTTCTGATATCCTCAATGTAGTCTCTTTCTTTTTGCAAACTTTGCTCTATCTGTTGTGTCTCCGGTATTTTAGCACCTTGTTTTACTCGCTCTGTTTCGGCTCTTGCTTTGTCTAGTTCAAGCTTACATTTTTCTAAATTTTCATCATATCTTTCCAGCTCTTTATTTAGTTTTTGTACCTCAGCATTTGCTTCATCTAGGTATGTTTGTATCTTGTAATTTTCAGACTTTCTCTCTGCATATTTCTGTTTTTCATAAAGTATTTCTTGCATTTTCCTTTCTATATCATCTGCTTTCATTTGGAGCTCACCTTTCATTCGCTCTAGTTGAGCTCTTTCATCTTGAATGCCCTGTTTTTGGAGATTTAATTCCTCTAATTCTTTATGGAGATTTAATTTATTTTCTTCCATATAAGCTTTGTCTTGTTCCAGCTGCTTTCTGATTTTCTCAGTCGATTCCTTCTCATCCAATAGCTCTGTCTTTAGTTGTTTCACATTTTCATTGTCCATCTTTTGTGTCTCCACCAGCCGCCACTGCTCCAACAATTCATCCCTTTCTCTCTCTAGATCTTGTTTTTGCTTAAGGATCTCCACACTTAACTGATCAAGACTCTCTCTTTCTCTCTGCAGGTTTGCTCTTGCAATGTCACTCTCATCCGATTGTCTTCTGACATCTTGGGTTTTCTGCAGATCCATCATTTGTTTGGTAATTATCTCTTTGTCCGTAACAAGAGCTCGCTTTTGTCTGTCTATCTCAGCTTGTATTTCATCAAGGCTGTCATTTTTCAATTTGATCTCCTCAGTAAATTGTTGTCTCTCTTTATTTAATGCTTCTGATGTCTTCAGTCTTTCCTCCTGAAGTTCTTTCATCAACTTTTGAATGTTCTCTCTACTCTTTTGTAGCTCATCTTTCTCATTTTGGAGGTTTTCTAAGTCTCTAGCCAACTCAGCCTTTTCTTTCATCATGATATTTGTTGTGTCATCCATGTCTCTTTGTTTATTTTGAAGTTCTGCTCTTATTTGATCTAGTTCATTCCATGTGCGTTGAATCTTCTCCTTCTCCTTTTCTATATTCTCTATTTCCTTCAAGTTACTTGTATGCATCTGCTTGAGAGTTTCTTTCTCTTTATTTAACTCAGTTCTTTGTCTGTATATTTCTTCCCTATCATAGTTTATCTCTTCTTTGGTTTTCTGCAGATCAGTTTTTTCTTCTTGAAACAAGTCTTCGGTATAATAAGTTTTCCTTCTTTTCTTTTCTGTCTGATCTAAACGCTCTTCTATAAATTTGCCTTCAGCAGGACGTTCGCTAATGTCTAATTGTCTTGTAAATTGTGCTGCCATCTCTTCCACTATTGGTCTTTCATCCTTTGTTTTCTCCGAAAATTCTTTGAAACCTATAGCTTTTCTTTGAAGGCTAATTTTCATCTTCTCTAGTTCCTTCTTCTCATTTTTAATGGTTTCTTTCTCTACTTTTAGATTCTCCAATTCTCTCTTCATATCCATTTTGTCTTTATCTGTGTGATCCAGGTTTTTGGTCAGCAGCTCTCTTTCTTTTTCAATCAAATCTTTCTCCTCATTCAATTTTAGCCTGAGTTGTTCACAGGCCTCCTTCTCCATCTTTAGACTAACCATATCACTCTTTATATTTCTTGTCTGTGCCAAAACCTCCAATCTTTCTCTTTCTACATTGGCCATTTCAGTCTTTGTGAAATCCATTAGATCATCAACCTCTTTTTGTAATAGATCAATGTCAGATTGTCTCTGGTCTAGCTGACACATTTCCATCATGATGGTATTTTTTAGTTCATCCATTTCTTGTTGTTGTTGTAAAATGTCTTCCTGCAGCTTTGCAAGTTCGCTTTCTCTGCTAGAAAGACTTTTGTTTTCGTTTGTAATGGTCTCAACTTGCTTTGAGATGTTTGCTCTCATTTCTTCAAGAGTCTCCCTCTCTTTCTGCATCTCTGTTATTGTCTTTTTATTCTTTTCCTGCTGATCTGCAAGTTCTTTGTTGGCTTGATCAATTTCTGTTTTGATTCTTTCAAAATCAGTCTTTTCCATTTGAAATGCAGTTGCTTGCTTTTGTTGATTAACTTTCTGAATATTTATCTCCTCATTAAGACGTTCATTTGTTCTTCTCTCTTCCTGAAGTCGAGCTGCCATGTCGTCCAGCTTCTGTCTTTCATTCTGCATGTCCTGTTTTTTCTTTTCAATCTGATCAGCTTCTTTTTGTAGTTCAGCTCGCATTTGTTTAAGCTTGTCCATTTCATCTTCAATTAGTTTCTGCTCTAACTTCATCTGCTGGTCTTGAGGTAAAACATCTTTGACTTTAGGTAAGTCTAACTTTTCGCTCTCAAAATCTTTTTTCAGTGCATCTTTTAAGTCCATTTCCGGCATCTGCTGCACAAACACAGGCTGTTTATCTGAATCTGATATCTCTGTTTTTCTTGCAGGCTTGGCTTTATCCACCTGACTTGGTTGAAGAACAATTTCAGCCTCTGACTTCTTAAGCAGACTCTCGTCTGTGATGCCAGACAAAAGGTGATCCTTGGCTTCTTGTTGTCTTTGCATGTCTCCGTGCATTCTTTCAAGTTCTTCCCTTGCTAATTGTATCTCTTTCTTTTCATCTTCAAGTTTCATTCTGTCTCTTGATATCTCCTTACTCATTTTCTCAAGGGCGTTCCTCTTTTGTTGTATCTCGGCAAGTGCAATTTCAATGTTTTTATTTTGTTTAAAAGTCTGAGATTTGGCTTTCTCCAAGTCAGACCTGTCACTCTCTATTGCTTCTTTTTCTTTTCGTATTTCAGTGTAGCTTTCATCTATAATATCTCTTTTCTTTTTAATTTCCTCAACAAGAGTGTTGATTTCTTCTCGTTCTTTCTGGATTTGAGCAGTCTTTTCCTCCACTCTCTGTCTTTCATGGTGTGTCTCTAGTTTGATCTTCTCAATCTCATCTGCTTGTATTTGCAGGTCAGTTTTCATCTGCTTCATTGCTTCCTTCTCATTCTCAAATGCTTCTTTGTCAAGTTTTAGACTCTCTGAATCTCTTTCTATACTCATTAGCTTTTGTTGCAGATCTTCCACATCTTTCTTCAGCAGATTTCTGTCATTGTGCAGCAATTCCTTTTCAGTCAATATCTCCTTCATCTGCATCTCAACATCTTCAGACTTCTTTTTCAACTCTGTCATCATGTTCTGTTTTTCCCTGATCATTGCAGCTCTTTCACTTTCAATGTTGGTCTTTTCCATGTCAATCTCACTTTGTTGTTTCTGAACCTCTGTTTGAAGTTTCTTAAGCTCATCTTCTCTGAGTTTTGATTTCTCTTTCTCATTTTCAATATCTTCTATTTGTTTAGAGATGTTCTCTCTCATTTCCTCAAGAATGCGCTTTTCTTTTTGCAGATCTGCCAGTGTAGACTCATTTGCAACTTTTATTTTATCCAGGACTTGATTTTTTCTCTTTATTTCTTCAGCAAGATATTCTCTCTCTTCTTTAAGTGCATTAGCCATCTTCTCCAAATTCTGTCTTTCATTTTGAGTCTCTTCTTTTATCTTGCTGATTTCATCAGCTTCTCTTTCCAGCCCAATCTTCATCTGTTCTAACTTGTTCTTCTCTTCCTCAAGCACTTGTTTTTGCGCCTTCATCATCTTCAGGTCTTCATCCAGACTCTTTCTGCTTTGGTCCATATCATCTCTTTTTTTCTCCATTTCCTGTTTCTGTTCTTCTATCATGACTTTATTTTTATCTAGTTGTTTTCTCTCATTGTTCATTGTTTCCATAAAATCAGCAGTCATTTCCTCCACTCTCTGTCTTTCATGTTGTGTCTCTAGTTTGATCTTCTCAATCTCATCTGCTTCTCTTTCCAGCTCAGTTTTCATCTGTTTCAATTCTTCTTTCTCATTCTCAAATGCTTCTCTGTCAAGTTTTAGACTCTCTGCATCTCTGTCTAAACTAATTATTTTACTTTGCAGATCTTCAACATCCTTGATTATTGCTGCTCTCTCCCTTTCAATGTTGCTCTTTTCAATTTCTGTTTCACTTTGTTGTTTATGAATCTCTGCTTGAAGTTGCTCAAGTTCATCTTCTCGTAGTCTTATTTTATCTTTTTCTTTTTCAATATCTTCTGTTTGTTTAGAGATGTTCTCTTTCATTTCCTCAAGATTGCTCTTTTCTTTTTGCAAATCTGCCATTGAAGACTCGTTTGCAACCTTCATTTCATCCAGACTGTTCTTCTCTCTCTTTGTATCTTCAGCAAGATGAGCAACATCTTTTCTCTCTTTTTTAAGTTCTTCTGCCATCTTTTCCAAAATCTGTCTTTTATTTTGAGTCTCTTCTTTTATCTTTCTGATATCATCAGCTTCTCTTTCCAGCTCAATCTTCATCTGTTCTAACTTGTTCTTTTCTTCTTCAATTACTTGTTTCTGCAGCTTCATCATCTTCAGGTCTTCATCCAGGCTTTTTCTGCTTTGGTCCATATTATCTCTTTCTTTTTCCATTTCCTGTTTCTGTTCTTCCATCTCTTCTTTATCTTTATCTAATTGTTTTCTCTCATTCTTCATTGTTTCCATAATGTCATTCATGTTTGTCTGTTGTTTGTCTAGCTCAGATTGTCTCCGATCAAGCTGACTTCTGGCCTTCATGATAATCTCTTTTTCTTTTTCTAGTTCTTGTTGCAGATTCTGAATTTCAGTTTTCAGTTGATCAAGTTCATCTTGTTTTTGATTCATTTGTTCTTCTTGATGTTTGATTTCGTGCATTTCTCTTGTGATGTTCTCATTCATCTTCTCTAGATCTTCTCTCTCTTTCTGTATCTGTGCCAGTGTGTTTTCTTTTTGTTTTTCAAGATCTTCCTTAACTTTATAAAGTTCACTTCTTGTTTTCTCCAGATCATGTTTTTCCTTCTCAAGCATGTCTTTATCAGATTGAATAGATTTGATTTTCTTTTCAATATCTCTGTTCTTTTCATTCAAGACCATGTCTTTTCTGTTTGTCTCCTCAATGAGATTGTTGATTTTGTCTCTGTCTTTCTGGATTTGAGCAGTCATTTCCTCCACTCTCTGTCTATCATGTTGTGTCTCTAGTTTGATCTTCTCAATCTCATCTGCTTCTCTTTCCAGCTCAGTTTTCATCTGTTTCAACACTTCTCTCTCATTCTCAAATGCTTCTCTGTCAAGTTTTAGACTCTCTGAATCTCTGTCTAAACTAATTATTTTATGTTGCAGATCTTCAACATTCTTGATTATTGCTGCTCTCTCACTTTCAATGTTGATCTTTTCCTTTTCAATTTCTCTTTGTTGTTTATAAATCTCTGCTTGAAGTTGCCAGAGTTCATCTTCTCTGAGTCTCAAGTTCTCTTTCTTGTTTTCAACATCTTCTGTTTGTTTAGAGATGTTTTCTCTCATTTCCTCAAGATTGCTCTTTTCTTTTTGCAGATCTGCCATTAAAGACTCGTTTGCAACTTTTACTTTATCCAGAATCTCCTGCTCTTTCTTTGTATCTTCAGCAAGATGAGTAAAACTTTCTTTCTCTTTTTTAAGTTCTTCAGTCATCTTCTCCAAACTCTGTCTTTCATTTTGAGTCTCTTCTTTTATCTTTCTGATTTCATCAGCTTCTCTTTCCAGCTCAATCTTCATCTGTTCTAACTTGTTCTTTTCTTCTTCAAACACTTGTTTCTGCAGCTTCATCATCTTCAGGTCTTTATCCAGACTCTTTCTGCTTTGGTCAAAGTCATGTTTTTCTTTTTCCATTTCCTGTTTCTGTTCTTCCATCTCTTCTTTATCTTTATCTAATTGTTTTCTCTCATTCTTCATTGTTTCCATAATGTCATTCATGTTTGTCTGTTGTTTGTCTAGCTCAGATTGTCTCAGATCAAACTGACTTCTGTCCTTCATGATAATCTCTTTTTCTTTTTCTAGTTCTTGTTGCAGATTCTGAATTTCAGTTTTCAGTTGATCAAGTTCATCTTGTTTTTGATTCATTTGTTCTTCTTGATGTTTGATTTCGTGCATTTCTCTTGTGATGTTCTCATTCATCTTCTCTACATCTTCTCTCTCTTTCTGTATCTCTGCCAGTGTGTTTTCTTTTTGTTTTTCAAGATCTTCCTTAACTTTATAAAGTTCACTTCTTGTTTTCTCCAGATTATGTCTTTCCTTCTCAAGCATGTCTTTATCAGATTGAATAGATTTGATTTTCTCTTCAATATCTCTGTTCTTTTCATTCAAGACCATGTCTTTTCTGTTTGTCTCCTCAATGAGATTGTTGATTTTGTCTCTTTCTTTCTGGATTTGAGCAGCCATTTCCTCCACTCTCTGTCTATCATGTTGTGTCTCTAGTTTGATCTTCTCAATCTCATCTGCTTGTATTTGCAGGTCAGTTTTCATCTGCTTCATTGCTTCCTTCTCATTCTCAAATGCTTCTCTGTCAAGTTTTAGCCTCTTTGAATCTCTTTCTAAATCAATAAGCTTTTGTTGTAGATTTTCTACATCTCTTGTCAAAAGTTTCCTGTCATTGTGCAGTAATTCCTTTTCAGTCAATATCTCCTTCATCTGGATCTCAACATCTTCAGACTTCTTTTTCAACTCTGTCATCATGTTCTGTTTTTCCCTGATCATCGCAGCTCTTTCACTTTCAATGTTGGTCTTTTCCATGTCAATCTTACTTTGTTGTTTCTGAACCTCTGTTTGAAGTTTCTTAAGCTCATCTTCTCTGAGTTTTGATTTCTCTTTCTCATTATCAATATATTCTTTCAGTTTAGAGATGTTCTCTCTCATTTCTTCAAGAATGCTCTTTTCTCTTTGTAAATCTGCCATTGAAGACTCGTTTGCAACTTTCATTTCATCGAGGATCTTCTTCTCTGTCTTTGTATCTTCAGCAAGATGAGCAAGACTTTCTTTCTCTCTTATTAGTTCTTCAGTCATTTTCTCCAACCTCTGTCTTTTATTTTGAGTCTCTTCTTTTATCTTGCTGATTTCATCAGCTTCTCTTTCCAGCTCAATCTTCATCTGTTCTAACTTGTTCTTCTCTTCTTCAAACATTTGTTTCTGCAGCTTCATCTTTTTTTGGTCTTCATCCAGGCTTTTTCTGCTTTGGTCCATATTATCTCTTTCTTTTTCCATTTCCTGTTTCTGTTCTTCCATCTCTTCTTTATCTTTATCTAATTGTTTTCTCTCATTCTTCATTGTTTCCATAATGTCATTCATGTTTGTCTGTTGTTTGTCTAGCTCAGATTGTCTCAGATCAAGCTGACTTCTGTCCTTCATGATAATCTCTTTTTCTTTTTCTAGTTCTTGTTGCAGATTCTGAATTTCAGTTTTCAGTTGATCAAGTTCATCTTGTTTTTGATTCATTTGTTCTTCTTGATGTTTGATTTCGTGCATTTCTCTTGTGATGTTCTCATTCATCTTCTCTAGATCTTCTCTCTCTTTCTGTATCTCTGCCAGTGTGTTTTCTTTTTGTTTTTCAAGATCTTCCTTAACTTTATAAAGTTCACTTCTTGTTTTCTCCAGATCATGTTTTTCCTTCTCAAGCATGTCTTTATCAGATTGAATAGATTTGATTTTCTCTTCAATATCTCTGTTCTTTTCATTCAAGACCATGTCTTTTCTGTTTGTCTCCTCAATGAGATTGTTGATTTCGTCTCTATCTTTCTGGATTTGAGCAGCCATTTCCTCCACTCTCTGTCTATCATGTTGTGTCTCTAGTTTGATCTTCTCAATCTCATCTGCTTCTCTTTCCAGCTCAGTTTTCATCTGTTTCAACACTTCTTTCTCATTCTCAAATGCTTCTCTGTCAAGTTTTAGACTCTCTGCATCTCTGTCTAAACAAATTATTTTATGTTGCAGATCTTCAACATCCTTGATTATTGCAGCTCTCTCACTTTCAATGTTGATCTTTTCCTTTTCTATTTCTCTTTGTTGTTTATGAATCTCTGCTTGAAGTTGCCTGAGCTCATCTTCTCTGAGTCTCAAGTTCTCTTTCTTGTTTTCAACATCTTCTGTTTGTTTAGAGATGTTCTCTCTCATTTCCTCAAGATTGCTCTTTTCTCTTAATATATCTGCCAGTGTAGACTCGTTTGCAACTTTCATTTCATCCAAGACTTGATTATTTTTCTTTGTTTCTTCAGCAAGATCTTCTCTCTCTTCTTTAAGTGCTTCAGTCATCTTTTCCAAATTCTGTCTTTCATTTTGAATCTCTTCTTTTATCTTTCTGATTTCAACAGCTTCTCTTTCCAGCTCAATCTTCATCTGTTCTAACTTGCTCTTCTCGTCTTCAAGCACTTGTTTCTGCAGCTTCATCATCTTTAGGTCTTCATCCAGACTCTTTCTGCTTTGGTCAAAGTCATGTTTTTCTTTCTCCATTTCCTGTTTCTGTTCTTCTGTCTCTTCTTTATCTTTATCTAATTGTTTTCTCTCATTCTTCATTGTTTCCATAATGTCATTCACATTTGTCTGTTGTTTGTCTAGTTCAGATTGTCTCAGATCAAGCTGACTTCGGTCCTTCATGATAATCTCTTTTTCTTTTTCTAGTTCTTGTTGCAGATTCTGAATTTCAGTTTTCAGTTGATCAAGTTCATCTTGTTTTTGTTTCATTTGTTCTTCTTGGTGTTTGATATCATGTATTTCTATTGTGAATTTCTCATTCATCTTCTCTAGATCTTCTCTCTCTTTCTGTATCTCTGCCAGTTTGATTTTCCTTTGTTTTTCAAGATTTTCTTTGGCTCTTAGAAGTTTACTTCTTGTTTTCTCCAAATCATGTTTTTCTTTCTCAAGCATGTCTCTATCAGATTCAATAGCTTTGATTTTCTCTTTAATTTCTGTTTTTATTTCATTCAAGACCATGTCTTTTCTGTTTGTCTCTTCAATGAGATTGTTGATTTTGTCTCTTTCTTTCTGGATTTGAGCAGTCATTTCCTCCACTCTCTGTCTATCATGTTGTGTCTCTAGTTTGATCTTCTCAATCTCCTCTGCTTTTCTTTTCAGGTCAGTTTTTATCTGTTTCAACACTTCTCTCTCATTCTCAAATGCTTCTCTGTCAAGTTTTAGACTCTCTAAATCTCTGTCTAAACTGAACATTTTATGTTGCAGGTCTTTAACATCCTTGATTATTGCTGCTCTCTCACTTTCATTGTTGCTCTTTTCCATTTTTATTTCACCTTGTTGTTTATGAATCTCTGCTTGAAGTTGCTCAAGTTCATCTTCTCTGAGTCTTATTTTCTCTTTCTCTTTTTCACTATCTTCTGTTTGTTTAGAGATGTTTTCTCTCATTTCCTCAAGATTGCTCTTTTCTTTTTGCAGATCTGCCATTAAAGACTCGTTTGCAACTTTCATTTTATCCAGGATCTTCTTCTCTGTCTTCGTATCTTCAGCAAGATGAGTAAAACTTTCTTTCTCTTTTTTAAGTTCTTCAGTCATCTTCTCCAATCTCTGTCTTTCATTTTGAGTCTCTTCTTTTATCTTTCTGATTTCATCAGCTTCTTTTTCCAGCTCAATCTTCATCTGTTCTAACTTGTTCTTCTCTTCTTCAATCACTTGTTTCTGCAACTTCATCATCTTTAGGTTTTTATCCAGACTTTTTCTGCTTTGGTCCATGTCATGTCTTTCTTTCTCCATTTCCTGTTTCTGTTCTTGCATCTCTTCTTTATTTTTATTTAGTTGTTTTCTCTCATTGTTCATTGTTTCCATAAAATCAGCAGTCATTTCCTCCACTCTCTGTCTTTCATGTTGTGTCTCTAGTTTGATCTTCTCAATCTCATCTGCTTCTCTTTCCAGCTCAGTTTTCATCTGTTTCAATTCTTCCTTCTCATTCTCAAATGCTTCTCTGTCAAGTTTTAGACTCTCTGCATCTCTGTCTAAACTAATTATTTTACTTTGCAGATCTTCAACATCCTTGATTATTGCAGCTCTCTCTCTTTCAATGTTGCTCTTTTCCTTTTCTGTTTCACTTTGTTGTTTATGAATCTCTGCTTGAAGTTGCTTTAGTTTTTCTTCTCTAAGTCTTATTTTCTCTTTCTTGTTTTCAACATCTTCTGTTTGTTTAGAGATGTTCTCTCTCATTTCCTGAAGATTGCTCCTTTCTCTTAATATATCTGCCAGTGTAGACTCATTTGCAACTTTCATTTCATCCAAGACTTGATTCTTTCTCTTTGCATCTTCAGAAAGGTCTTCTCTCTCTTTTTTAAGTGCTTCAGTCATCTTTTCAAAAATCTGTCTTTCATTTTGAGTCTCTTCTTTTACCTTTCTGATTTCATCAGCTTCTCTTTCCAGCTCAATCTTCATCTGTTTTAACTTGCTCTTCTCTTCTTCAATCACTTGTTTCTGCAGCTTCATCATCTTCAGGTCTTCATCCAGACTCTTTCTGCTTTGGTCGAAGTCATGTTTTTCTTTCTCCATTTCCTGTTTCTGTTCTTCCGTCTCTTCTTTATCCTTATCTAATTGTTTTCTCTCATTCTTCATTGTTTCCATAATGTCATTCATGTTTGTCTGTTGTTTATCTAGTTCAGATTGTCTCAGATCAAGCTGACTTCTGGCCTTCATGATAATCTCTTTTTCTTTTTCTAGTTCTTGTTGCAGATTCTGAATTTCAGTTTTCAGTTGATCAAGTTCATCTTGTTTTTGTTTCATTTGTTCCTCTTGATGTTTGATCTCATGCATTTCTCTTGAGATGTTCTTTTTCATCTTCTCTATGTCTTTTCTTTCTATTTCTCTTTGTGTTTCAAGATTTTCTTTGGCTCTTGCAAGTTCACTTCTTGTTTTCTCCAGATTATGTCTTTCCTTCTCAAGCATGTCTTTATCAGATTGAATAGATTTGATTTTCTCTTCAATATCTCTGTCCATTTCATTCAAGACCATGTCTTTTCTGTTTGTCTCTACAATGAGATTGTTGATTTCGTCTCTATCTTTCTGGATTTGAGCAGTCTTTTCCTCCACTCTCTGTCTATCATGTTGTGTCTCTAGTTTGATCTTCTCAATCTCATCTGCTTGTATTTGCAGGTCAGTTTTCATCTGTTTCAACACTTCCTTTTCATTTCCAAATGCTTCTCTGTCAAGTTTTAGACTCTCTGAATCTCTTTCTATACTCATTAGCTTTTGTTTCAGATCTTCCATATCTTTCTTCAGCAGATTACTGTCATTTTCAAGTAATTCCTTTTCAGTCAATATCTCCTTCATCTGGATCTCAACATCTTCAGACTTCTTTTTCAACTCTGTCATCATGTTCTGTTTTTCCCTGATCATCACAGCTCTTTCACTTTCAATGTTGGTCTTTTCCATGTCAATCTCACTTTGTTGTTTCTGAACCTCTGTTTGAAGTTTCTTAAGCTCATCTTCTCTGAGTTTTGATTTCTCTTTCTCATTTTCAATATCTTCTGTTTGTTTAGAGATGTTCTCTCTCATTTCTTCAAGAATGCGCTTTTCTCTTTGCAAATCTGCCATTGAAGACTTGTTTGCAACTTGCATTTCATCCAGCATCTCCTTCTCTCTCTTGGTATATTCAGCAAGATGAACAAGATCTTCTCTCTCTTTTATAAGTGCTTTAGTCATTTTCTCCAAACTCTGTCTTTCATTTTGAGTCTCTTCTTTTATCTTTCTGATTTCATCAGCTTCTCTTTGGAGCTCAAACTTCATCTGTTCTAACTTGTTCTTCTCTTCTTCAATCACTTGTTTCTGCAGCTTCATCATCTTCAGGTCTTCATCCAGACTCTTTATGCTTTGGTCCATATTATCTCTTTCTTTCTCCATTTCCTGTTTCTGTTCTTCCATCTCTTCTTTATCCTTATCTAATAGTTTTCTCTCATTCTTCATTGTTTCAATAATGTCATTCATGTTTGTCTGTTGTTTGTCCAGCTCAGATTGTCTCAGATCAAGCTCACTTCTGTCCTTCATGATAATCTCTTTTTCTTTTTCTAGTTCTTGTTGCAGATTCTGAATTTCAGTTTTCAGTTGATCAAGTTCATCTTGTTTTTGTTTCATTTGTTCTTCTTGATGTTTGATTTCATGCATTTCTATTGTGATGTTCTCATTCATCTTCTCTAGATCTTCTCTCTCTTTCTGTATCTCTGCCAGTGTGTTTTCTTTTTGTTTTTCAAGATCTTCCTTAACTTTATAAAGTTCACTTCTTGTTTTCTCCAGATTATGTTTTTCCTTCTCAAGCATGTCTTTATCAGATTGAATAGATTTGATTTTCTCTTCAATATCTCTGTTCTTTTCATTCAAGACCATGTCTTTTCTGTTTGTCTCCTCAATGAGATTGTTGATTTTGTCTCTTTCTTTGGTGATTTGAGCAGTCATTTCCTCCACTCTCTGTCTGTCATGTTGTGTCTCTAGTTTGATCTTCTCAATCTCATCTGTCTCTCTTTCCAGCTCAGTTTTCATCTGTTTCAACACTTCTCTCTCATTCTCAAATGCTTCTCTGTCAAGTTTTAGACTCTCTGCATCTCTGTCTAAACTTATTATTTTATGTTGCAGATCTTCAACAATCTTGATTATTGCAGCTCTCTCACTTTCAATGTTGCTCTTTTCCTTTTCTATTTCTCTTTGTTGTTTATGAATCTCTGCTTGAAGTTGCCCGAGTTCATCTTCTCTGAGTCTCAAGTTCTCTTTCTTGTTTTTAACATCTTCTGTTTGTTTAGAGATGTTCTCTCTCATTTCCTCAAAATTGCTCTTTTCTTTTTGCAGTTCTGCCATTAAAGACTCGTTTGCAACTTTTATTTCATCCAGAATCTCCTGCTCTTTCTTTGTATCTTCAGCAAGATGAGTAAAACTTTCCTTCTCTCTTTTAAGTTCTTCAGTCATCTTCTCCAAACTCTGTCTTTCATTTTGAATCTCTTCTTTTATCTTTCTGATTTCACCAGCTTCTCTTTCCAGCTCAATCTTCATCTGTTCTAACTTGTTCTTTTCTTCTTCAAACACTTGTTTCTGCAGCTTCATCATCTTCAGGTCTTCATCCAGACTGTTCCTGCCTTGGTCGAAGTCATGTTTTTCTTTCTCTATTTCCCGTTTCTGTTCTTCCATCTCTTCTTTATCTTTATCTAATTGTTTTCTCTCATTCTTCATTGTTTCAATAATGTCATTCATGTTTGTCTGTTGTTTGTCTAGCTCAGATTGTTTCAGATCAAGCTCACTTCTGTCCTTCATGATAATCTCTTTTTCTTTTTCTAGTTCTTGTTGCAGATTCTGAATTTCAGTTTTCAGTTGATCAAGTTCATCTTGTTTTTGTTTCATTTGTTTTTCTTGATATTTAATGTCATGTATTTCTCTTGTGATGTTGTCATTCATCTTCTGTAGATATTCTCTATCTTTCTGGATTTGAGCAGTCATTTCCTCCACTCTCTGTCTTTCATGTTGTGTCTCTAGTTTGATCTTCTCAATCTCTTCTGCTTCTCCTTGCAGGTCAGTTTTCATCTGTTTCAACACTTCCTTCTCATTCTCCAACAATTCTCTATCTTGTTTTAGACTCTCTGAATCACTTTCTATAATCAATAGTTTCTGTTGCAGATTTTCCACATCTTTCTTCAGTAGTTTTCTGTCACTCTCCAGTAATTCCTTTTCAGTCAATACCTCTTTCATCTGGATCTCAACATCTTCAGACTGCTTTGTCAGCTCAGTCATCAAGTCCTGGTTTTTCTTGGTCATTGCTGCTCTTTCATTTTCAATGATGCTCTTTTTGGTGTCCATTTCAGTTTGTTGTCTGTTAATCTCTGCTTGCATTTGCTGAAGTTTATCTTCTCTGAGTATCATTTTCTTTTTCTCACTGTCAATCATTTCATTTTGTTTGAACATGCTTTCTCTCATTTGCTCAAGATTGCATTTCTCTTTTTGTATATCTGCTAATGCAGACTCATGTAACACTTTCATTTCATCATCCTTTCTCTTTGTATCTTCAGCAAGATGAGCAAGATCGTCTTTCTCTTTTTCAAGATTTTCTGCCATCTTTTCCAAACTCTGTCTTTCATTTCTTGTCTTTTCTTTTAGCTTTTTGATATCATCAGCTTCTCTTTGCAGCTCAATTTTCATCTGTTGTAACTTGTTCTTCTCTTCTTGAATTGCTTGTTTGTGATATTTAAGCTCTTTCATTTCTACCTCCAAAGCTGTTCTCTTTTGGTCCATTTCTTTCTCGTATGTGTTCAGCATTTGGGTTCGTTCTTCAATTAATCCCCTTTCCTTATTCAGTTCAATATCCATCTGATGTTTTTGAGCTATCATTTCAGACTTCTCTTTCTCGAGATTTGCCCTGTCTTTAGAAGCATACTCCATCATTTGATTGACTTCTCTCTGCAGTCGGTCTATTTCAGTTTTCTGTCCTTCAAGTCTGTATTTTTCATTTATAATCGCCTTTCTATTGGCTTCTATTTCATCTTGCTGTCTGTAAATCAAAGCTTGGAGTTGCTCAAGTTCAACCTCTCTCAGTCTCAGTTGTTCGGTCTTATTCACTATGTCAACCTGTTGCTCTGAAATACCCTGTTTTAGCAGATAAAGCATGTCTTTTTCTGCCTGTATTTCTGCCTGTTTGACCTTGTTTTTCTCTCTTTCTTCAAGAAGCTGGTTTTCCAGATCCTCCTTGGCTCCTGCTATATCTGTCACCGTTTTCTTCAGCTCAATCAGAACTCTTTCCTGCATCTGTTTATTAGACTCATTTGCCTTCCTTTGCATTTCTGTTTCTATCTGCATGTTTTCTAGAACCACTTGTTTCCTCCCAAGTTCCTCAGCAAGACTCTCCACATTTTCCCTGTCTTTCTTAAGTTTTGTGCCTGCTTCTTCAAGGTTCTGTCTTTCATTTTGTAATTCTAGTTTTGTCTTTTCTGCTTCTTTTTTTAGCTCAGCTTTTATTTGCTCGATCTTATCTCTCTCATCCTCAATGATTTTCTTCTGAAGTTCGTTGTTCTCCTGCTCTTTAGCCAAATTTTGCCTTGTTTTTTCCAGTTCATCCATTTCTTGCTTTATCCTTGTCCTGGTGTTGTCAATTCCTTCCCTTTCACTCTGCTCTTTCAGATCTTCACTCAAACTGATGTCTGCTTTTTCCTTCTCAAAACAATCTCTCTCTTTTTCTAGATCTTCTTTCTGTTTTGATAAGTTTATTTTCAACTGCTCAAGAATCTCCCTCTCTTTCTGTATCTCCACCAGTTGTATTTCATGTTGTCTAATCTGAGATTCAAGTTGTTTTTTAAGATTTCCCATCTCTGTCTTTGTTTTCTCCAGGTCAAACCTTTCTTTTTCAAGAGTGTCTCTATCAGATTCAAGCCTTTGTTTTTGTACTTCTAAATTTGCTTCCTCATCTCTGATCCTGTCAGTTGATGTCTCTATATCTTTCTTTTCATTTTGAAGTTTGATCACCATTTCTTCATTATTCCGTCTGTCTTTTTCTATGTCTCGCCTTTGTTTTTCAGTATCTTCAGCTTCTTTTTGTAGCTCAGCTTTTATTTGCTCAATCTTGTCTCTCTCATCCTCAATGATTTGTTTCTGAAGTTCATTGTTCTCCAGTTCTTTAACCACATTAAGTCTGGTTTGTTTCAGTTCATCCATTTCTTTCTTTATTCTTACCCTGGTCTTACCAATTCCTTCCCTTTCACTCTGCTCTTGCAGTTCTTCTCTTAAACTAATGTCTGCTTTTTCCTTCTCAAAACAATCTCTCTCTTTTTCTAGATCTTCTTTCTGTTTTGATAAGGTCAATTTTAACTGCTCAAGAATCTCCCTCTCTTTCTGTATCTCCGCCAGTTGTATTTCATGTTGTCTATTCTGAGATTCAAGCTGTTTTTCAAGATCTTTCATCTCTGTGTTAGTTTTCTTCAGGTCAAACCTTTCTTTTTCAAGAGTGTCTCTATCAGATTCAAGCCTTTGTTTTAGTACTCTTAAATTTGCTTCCTCATCTCTGATCCTGTCAGTTGATGTCTCTATATCTTTCTTTTCATTTTGAAGTTTGATCACCATTTCTTCATTATTCCGTCTATCATTTTCTATATCTTGTCTTTGTTTTTCAGTGTCTTTAGCTTCTTTTTGTAGCTCAGCTTTTATTTGCTCAATCTTATCTCTCTCATCCTCAATGATTTGTTTCTGAAGTTCATTGTTCTCCAGTTCTTTAACCACATTAAGTCTGGTTTGTTCCAGTTCATCCATTTCTTGCTTTATTCTTACCCTGGTCTTATCAATTCCTTCCTTTTCACTCTGCTCTTCCAGTTCTTCTCTTAAACTGATGTCTGCTTTTTCCTTCTCAAAACAATCTCTCTCTTTTTCTAGATCTTCTTTCTGTTTTGATAAGTTTATTTTCAACTGCTCAAGAATCTCCCTCTCTTTCTGTATCTCCACCAGTTGTATTTCATGTTGTCTAGACTGAGATTCAAGCTGTTTTTCAAGATCTTTCATCTCTGTCTTAGTTTTCTCCAGGTCAAACCTTTCTTTTTCAAGAGTGTCTCTATCAGATTCAAGCCTTTGTTTTTGTACTCTTAGATTTGCTTCCTCATCTCTGATCCTGTCAGTTGATGTCTCTATATCTTTCTTTTCATTTTGAAGTTTGATCACCATTTCTTCATTATTCCGTCTATCGTTATCTATGTCTCGCCTTTGTTTTTCAGTATCTTCAGCTTCTTTTTGAAGCTCAGCTTTCATTTTACCCAATCTCTGCATTTCTTTACCAATCATTTCTTTCTTATCATCTAAAGCCTCAAACTCTTCAGCTAAGATGGTTTTCTTTTCTTTAATTTTCTCTAGCTCTCTGTTCAGAATTTCTCTGCTGTTTTCAATATGATCTTGTTCTCTGAGAACTTCTTGTTTTATCAAATCTACACTTGCATTTTTCCTCTTCACTTCATTTTGCATCTCATTCACTCTTTGCTTTTCTTTTGTTATTTCAACCTTTTCCTTTTCCAGTCTGTCCATTACATTCTCTAATTCTCTTTTTTGCTTTTCCATTTCAGCCTGTCTTTCATCAAGTTCATTCTGTTTTGCATTAAGCTGTGACATTTGCATGTTCTGTTCATTTTCTTGTAGTTTTAAACGGTCTTTCTCTTTTTTAACATAGCTTTCCTCTTGTGAGATCTTCAAATTCATTTGCACAAGAGCGCTTTTCTGTTTCTCTACCTCTGATAGATCAGCATTTATTTTTTTTCTCACTTCATCAAGCTCATCAGTTTTGCTTTTCTCCACTACTGGCTTTTGCGTTTCTAACATATATGTTTCAGTGTAGACGGCTGGCTTTTGTATTTCTAGCTCTTTCTTTTTTCTCTCAATATTTTCCGCTTCTATCTGAAGCTCAGTTCTCATCTGCTGTATCTCTTTCTCAAACAATTGCCTCTGAAACTGCAAGTCTTCATATTCTTTATCCAGTTTTTCTTTATATTTTTTCATTGCTTCATTCTCCATTTCCAACGATTTCATGCGGCTTTCAAATAATTCCTTTTGCTCATTTACATGTTTTTTTTGTTTCTCCACATTTTCATATTCTTCTCTCAAACTTTCCATTTCTTGTCTTTGTTCCTCCAGAGCTGTTGTTTCTCTGCCTCTTGCGGTCTTTACATATTCTGCTTTCTTCCGTTGTTGATCTTTATCGGCTTGCATCTGTTCAACTTGCACTTTTTCCATCCTTAATTTGTTCTGCAACTCATCTATTTGTTTCTGTTTATATTCAGCCTCATTTTCTCTCAGTCCTAAATGTTCTTTTTCCAATTCAAAAATGGTTCTTTCTTTTGAGATGTTTTCACTCTGCAGCTCTAGATTGTCACTCTCTTTTTGTATCTCTGCTTGTATAATGTTATTCTTTTCTTTTTGTCGAGAAAATTCATCTTCATCTTCTCTAAGCTTTGATGTTTCCTGTTCGAGCTCATCTCTTTTAGACTCAACCTCCTGCCTCTCTTTGTCAACCTCCATTTGCATCTCATCAAGAGCTTTTGTCCTCTTTTCAATCTCTTCAACTAGTCTATCCATGTATTGCCTTTCTTTTTGAATTTGAACTTCCATGTCTTTTACATTCTGGATGTCTTTTTGAACAGCCTGTCTTTGATTTTCAACGATAGCTGCTTCTTTTTGCAGATCAGCCTTTAAATCCTTAAATGTTATTTCCTGCTTTTCTATACCAACTCTTATTTTGTCCACATCCTCCCTTTTTCTTTTTGTCTCTTCTGCAATATTCATAATCTCATCTCTTTCTTTCTGAAGTTCAACCGCAGCGTCCTCTAGTTTTTGTTTTTCAGCTAGAGTATCTATTCTTAGCTTCTCAGTATCTTCAGCTAATGTTTGTAGCACAGATTCAAGCTTGTCTTTCTCTTCTGCAATACTTTGTCTTTGCAGTTGCATCTCTTCTTTCTCTCTCTCCAAATTGATTTTCATTTGCTCCAGATCTTGCATATCTCTCATTAAAGATATTCTGCAGTCTTCAAGAAGTCGCTTCTCATTTAGTACTTCTTTTTTCACAAGCTTCAGAGATTCTAGCTCTCTGTTTAATAGATGTGTCATGTCCCTCTCCATCTGCAGCTTCTGTTCAATTATAGCTGCCCTTTCTCTGTCAAGATTGTCTTTTTCATTTTGCGTGAACTGCATCATGTCACCAACCTGTTTTAGCTGTTCTGCAATTTCGTCTTGGCTTTTCTTAAGTTCACTTTTTTCCATGAAAACTGCATTCTGGATATCCTGCATTTCTTTTTGCTGTCTGTTAAGATCAGTCTGCATTTGCTGCAGGTCATATTCTCTTATTTTAATCTTACTCTTCTCATTCTCAATCTCATCTTTCTGTTGTGAATTGAGTTCACTTATTTTTTCAAGAACGTCGCTCTTTGTTTTGATCTGGTTCAGTGTCAGTTCATTCAATTCTCTCAAGTTTTCCAGATCTTTTATTTCTCTCGATCTCTCTGTTTGTAGTTGTTGCATGTCATGCCTTTTCTTTTCAAGTTCTTCCCATTCTTGTTTTAGCTTCTCTGCCCAATTTTCCATATTCTGTCTTTCATCATGCATGTTATGTTTTGATCTCTCAATATAGCCAGATTCTCTCTGCAGCTCATATTTCATGTTCTCCAATGCTCTCTTTTCATCCTCCATCATTTTCCGCTGAGCTTCCAGGTTCTCAAATTCTTTAGCTAAAGTGAATTTCAGATCAGCCTCCATGGTTTGCTTTTCTGTTTCTACATCCTGTCGAATGCGATTCAGAACATCTCTTGCTTTTTCTAATTCTATTCTTACCATCTCCTCTTTTTCTCTGCTTTCAGCAATTTGAGTCTGCAGGTCAACCCATCCTTTCTGTACTTCTAACTTCGTCCTTTCCATCTCATCTTTTGTTTGTTCCAGCTCTTGCTTTTGGAGCTCCAATTGTAACTCCATGTCTGCTGTGGTTTGCGTTGCTGTTTGTAGAGTAGCTTCTCTGAGAGAAAGTTCATCCCTGCTCAGTTCTATTTCTGCCATCTGTCTCTCCATTGTACATTTTTGAGCAAGCAGTTCTTGTTTGAAATATTCTAGAAATTGTCTTTGCTTATCAAGCTCCTCTATGGACAGTGCCATATCATATTCACTAGCATCTTCCATCAATTCAGTTTGGACTTGAGCATCAACTTGTTTAATTTCCAACGGTTTTTTGTATTCTAGTTTGCTTTTCTCACTTTGTAGATGTAGTTCCTTGATATCCAGTTGTTGTTTTCTTTCATTCAGTTGCTGGTTCTCATTCCATATTGCATCTAAACCTTTTTGGTTCTTTTCTTTCTCAGTCTGCAGCTGTCTTTCCCAGTTTTGTAGACTCACTCGTTTTGTTTTCATCTCTTTCTCCTCCTCATGCAGTTTGATCATTCTCTCTTCAGCGTCATTCTTTACTGCTTTTACATCTTCCTTTATCTTATTTAGTTCATGTTTCTCTTTTAAAATGATTTCTTTATAGTGTTCCAGTTCTTGTCTTTCTTTCTGTATACTTGCGCTGAGTTCAAGGTCACTTGCTCTATAACTTTTAATGGCTCCTGGTTCTTCTGTTTTGGCATACTCTGAGCTTTTGGTGGCAACGATGGCTGGTTGAACCTGAAATAAATGTTTCTTGTTTGCATTTGCATCTTGTTTCAATATTATGTATATAAACATACGCGTGAGACTCAGATGGAGGGCAGAAATTGATTCATCTACAAAGGAATCGCTATCAGAAGACAAAAATGTTTGTTTTGTGTTGTTTATAATTGTTTAAATTAGCCAAATGATAAATGCCAAACAGTTTTTACAGGCTTTCAAAAGTTTTTTCCTTATAAGGGGGGAAACGTTCAAGAAATTGGCTTAAAACGAAAGAAAAGGCGGCATGTAATAAACATGTATTCAATATATTCATATGTACAAACTTGTTTTGAATGTGATAATTTGTTTGACAGCACTAATAATTATTATATACAGGCCTAGCTATGTGTATTATATGTTAATGTGTTATATAAAAAGATAAAAAAGATATAAACACCACCACACTTATACAAAGTCCAGAAGAACATATATAACGTACCCTGCCCTGCAATTGCTGCAATGAAATCTCTGTCTTGTTTTGTAAAAATCCATGATTTTACTGATGTAAAACTGTAACGTTAACATCAAGATGTGCAGCAGCCTTGAAAGTTTGATGGTAAGTTCATCGACCGAACAAAAAAGAAACGCTACCATTGCGAGCACTAGACGGTTAATATTGTGTAGCCCTGTTTACCATACACTAAAAATATATAATGATAATAATAATAATAATAATAATAATAATGTAGACTACGCATCCATTCTTTTATGTGCTTTCATTTGTTTTTTCATGTATAGGTCTACAAGAGAACCTGAAAAATGAAAAAAAAAAAAAAAACTATAGTAATTTATTATATGTTTTTAAACCACACTATAGTAAAGTCCAAATAGTGTGACCAAGACATCAAAAATAAATTTAGTTTATTTAAAAAGCAACCGCTATAGTTATGAAATGACGTGTGTCTGTTCAATACAGCATGAGTCACCTGACATTAAGCGAGTGGTGTGAGCAGCCAATAACTGCTGCAGCTAAACAAAGTTAATAATAATAAGAATAATAAGCTGATAAATTATAATTGTACGCCAATTAATACTGAAACGTTAGTGTATTGTGTGGTGCACTGTGATGGTGTATAATTATAAAAATGTAGCCTATTGGATAATTTGTTTATTACTACAGTTGTTTTGTACATAACCATATAATTACTACGACAGTTAAGTTTCAAAACACTACTAGTCTACTATAATATTTTGTTCATGTAATAGCTTACAATAGGTGCCTACTGCCTTTATGACTGGCAAATATATTTTAGTTCAGTCGAAAACTTGATCCTCTTCATAATATAAGAATCATGCCCGACATTTATGGGTTTTTTCTATTTATATCTCCTTTAAAATATGTTATAAATCACTCAAATATGGACTTTCCCATTCAGTTTTTTTTTTTTTTACTTCCCTCTATCTGAATTCCGCGCATCATCAGAACCACAACATTGAAAACAACCTTTATACTGAACAAAGTTTATGTAAAATTACTTTTTTTTAAATACCTCTTGTGTAATGTAGATTTGCTTTAATGTCAGCATGGCTTGTTTTAGGGTGCTTTCACACCTGTGAATCGATTCAGTTGTTCCGAAACAGAGAATACAAATGTTACATTGTTGCTCTTTTCTTTGGTCAGAGTGTCAGGGTTTATTTTGCAGAGTCCTGCTCAGCTGTCAAGAGAGGTGGTGGTTTGGTGGTGTTTGACAAGGTGTGGCAACGTGTCTGAATAGTGAGGAGAGATGGGGTGGAAAGAGGTGAGAAGGGTGCGCGACGTAGCCTATTTGAGGACCAGGAGGGAGACGCGAGATTACCGGGAGATTATCACTCGTTTGCGGGCATCCGGAGACTCGTGAAACATCCCGCCCTACTCATAATTCTCTCTTCATATAGCTGTATGCCTATTACATATTCATAAAACACAGTGATATAACCGCGCTCGAATCGTATCGCTTTCTCACTGCAATCAATCCGCTCCAGAGTTCGTTTCAATCGAGCCGAGACCACATCGTTCAGGCGATCTCGGAGCGATTGATTTGGCGCGGATCCGAGAGCGATTGGTGGTTTCACATATGCCAAACGAACCGTGATAACTGGGCAAACGAGACAAAAGTGTAGGTGTGAAAGCAGCCTTACTCAAAATTCTCCTTTTTAAATTGAAATTTGCTGCATTATGGATGTTAACACTTCATGTTTACTTAAAGAGTCCAGTTGTTGCTGACAGTATTGATAATAAAAATAATATTTGAAAGATTCTGTCAAATGATGAATCATGACTTACCTTTTCTTGAGCGATGACTTCTCTCTGTCGTTGTATGTCTTCTTTTGCCTGGTCTATGTCTTTCAAAGCATTGTTCACATCTTCTCTCATCTGCTCCACCCTATCATTCTCTTTAATGACCTCCTCCAGTCTCTCCTCCAGCTCTTCTCTTTGGCGCTGCCCCATTTTGCTCATGAGTTCTAGTTCATCTTGTTCTCTCATGATCTTTTCTTCCCTGTATTCAATCTCTCTTCTCCTTCGTTGAACTTCGATCTTCAACAGCCTAATCTCCTCCCTGTCTCTCTTCATGATTTCCTTGTTCTGTTCCACCTCACCCTTAAGACCTCGCAGCATTTCTCGGATATGTTCGATCTCCAGGATGAGCCTCTGCATCTCAGCATTCATCTCCTCTTGGTCTGCTGTCCCCATTTGACTTCCTGCCATTCGATTTTCGAACTGGAATTTTGTTTTGTGCACCATTTCTCTCGTTGCCTCGATCTGCTGAATGAGGTTGATTATTGTGAGATTCATCTGCTCTTTCTCTTCTTCCAAATCTCTCTCCTCCACCCTAAGTTCAAATTCTTCCCTCGCTCTTTGGATTTCAGCTTTAACTTGCTCCATTTCATATTTCTGCCTCTCGGTTTCCACTCTTTTAAATTCCATATCGTCTTTTGCCCTTTGTATCTCCATCTTCAGTCGTTCCATTTCTTCCTTCTTCCTCATGGTTAGTTTCATCCTTTGGTCAAGTTCTTTCTTCTTCCCTTCCATTTCTCTCTTCATCAGCTCCATTTCTCCAATCTCTCGTTTGGTTTTCTGCATCCTTTCCTCCAGCTCTTTTCTTTGTTTTTGTATTTCGTCTTTGACATGTTGCATTTTCTCCATCTCTGCTTTTGCTAGCTCCATTTTCCTTTCAACATCCTCTTTTTGTTTTAAGATTTCAGTCCTCATCACTTCCATCTGTTGTCTCTCACTCTTTGCTGCCAACATTTGGTTCTCAATATCTTCTTTCTGTCTCAGGAGGTCTGCTTTCATCATTTCAAGGTTAGTCATTTCCAACCTTGCATGTTCCATCTTCATGTCAATGTTCTCCTTCTGCTTTGTTAACTCCACCTTCATGTCTTCGATCTCACCCATTTCTCTCTTCATAGCTTCCATCTTCCTTATCATCTCCTCTTTTTCATGGTTTATCTTCTCACGTTCTTCCTGATCACCCTTTTCAGCCTCATCCCACAACCTCTCTATTTCTGCTCTCACACGGTTAATCTCCTCCTTGACCTCTTCGTAAGTGTCCTTACCTCTTAGGGTTTCTACACGTATCTTCTCCAGGTCTTCTCTCTCATTCTCCATGTCCTTTCTCAAGAGCCTTAAAGCTTCCTCTCTTTGTTTTGTCTCCTCTAACCTTTTATTCACATCCTCTCTTTGTTCCTGAATCTCAACGATAAGAAGTTCTGCTTTCTCTCTATCTTGCCTCGCTAACTCTCTGCTTCTGTTCATGGATTCTGTGTCAATAACTAGCTGAGATTTGATCTTCTCAAGTTCTTCTTTTTGTCTCTGCACCTGAGCACTCTGTTCCACATCATATCTCATCATCTCATACCTTCGTTGTTCTAGATCTTTCTTCTCATTCTCAACCTGAAATCTCATCTGTTCTAGCTCCTTTCTCTCACTGTCCATCTCAAATAAACATTTGTCTTGATCTGCTTTGTTCTTCAGCAATTCTGATCTGACTTGCTCAACAAACACTCTCTCTTGCTGTGTATCCTCCAACATTTTCTGCAGACTTTCCTTCTCAAAATACCTCATCTTTTCTAGCTCCTGTCTTGCTCTTTGTATCTCTTTATTTATTTGTTCTAATTCTTCTGCTTTCTTCTGTATTTCATCTCTTTGCTCCAGAGCCTCTGTTATCATTTCATACCTTCTCTTCTCTGACTCTTCCATTTGCTTTTTTAAGAGCATCTCAGCCTCATGGACTGCAAGTTTGGCAAGGTTTGCCTCCTCTTTTTCTTTATTCACTACTCTAAACCAGTCCTCCATTTCTGCATGTTGTCTTTGTAGCTCGTTCCTCATTCTGTTGATTTCATCTAATTCTTCTTTAACCTTTTCTCTGCTGATGGTAATTTCTCCTCGCTCAATCTCCAACTGTTCAATCACCATTGTCAGCTGTTCTTCCTTTGCTTTAGCTTCATTCATCTGCATGATAACGACATGTTTGTCTTCCTCCATCTCACCCTTCAGTTTGTCAAGGCTTTCCTTCCACAGCATAAGCTCTATCTTGCTCTCCTCAATGTTTTTCTGCGATCTCTCTGTCTCCTCTCTTAGCTTTTCCAGTCGTTCCAGCTCATGCTGTGTTTTCGCCCTGAGTTCGACTTCCTCTGTTTCCGTTTCACGCCACCGGCTCTCCATTTCTTCCTTGACCCTGAGGATCTCATTTCTGAGGAACTCAGCCTGTTCAATTTCTCTGCTTACCAAATCTCTCTTTCTTTCCAGATCCTCTCGCTCTTCCTCCAACTCAACCTTTGCCTCTTCCATTTGTTCTTTGGTTTTTTGGATCTCCTCAACCTTCTTCTCAATATCCTCGATTTGCCCCTGAATTTCAGCTTTCATTTTTTCCATTTTCTCATATTCTCTAATTGTGACATCCTGACTGTTCTCAATCTCCTCCTTGGCTCTTAATGTTTCATGTTTAATTCTCTCTATCTCCTGTCTCTCCCTCAGCATTTCTTCTTGTCTTTGATTCAAGCGTTCTTTTTCAGCCTTGATCTCTGCATTGACTAGTTCTGTTGTTTCTCTTTCTTGTCTGGCTTCTTCTCTTATCCTAATGCTTTCTTCTTTCTCTTTCAGTATTTTGGCTTTCTCCACGTCATTCACTCTTTGCATCTCTGCTCTTATATTCTCCAACTCATCTCTCTCTCTCTGCAGTCGAGCTCTGTGCTCCAGCTCCTCTGTCACAATCTCATACCTCTTCCTCTCTGCTTCTTCTTTAGCTTTCCGTGTATCATCCTTCTGTTTTTCTAAGGCATCTTTGTCTCTCTGCATCTCTGTCTTTATATGTTTGAGCCTCTCAGTTTCTCTCTTTATTTCATCAACTCTGCCCTCCATAGAAATCATGTGGCTTTGTATGTCCACTTTGGCCTGTTCAATCTTTTCCCATTCCTTCTTGACCAGCTCTCCATTCATCACCAGCTCCTCTCGACCTCTCTCGATTTCATGTTTCATCTCCTCCAGATCCTTTTCTTTTCTTAAAATGTCATGCCATTTATTTTCAATAAGGTTGTTTTCTTCAAGTGCCTGAGCTCTCAGCTGGCTTATTCTTGCATGCTCTTGTTTTGAAAACTCTCGGTTTCTTTCCACCTCTTCTCTCACTCTTTGAATCTCGTCTTGAAGGTATTTCAGCTGCTCTTTCTCCCTTTGGATTACTGCTCTTTGTTCCAGTCCTTCCTTTTCTGTTTCATGCCACCTTTGCTCCATTTCCATTTTCACTTGCTGGAGGTCAAGTTTAATCTGCTCAAATTGATCTCTTTGCCTCTTGATGTCCTCCTTCTTCTTCTCCAACTCATTTTTCTCATCCTCTATTTCAGCTTTCATCTGTTCCATCAGATCTTTTGCTTTCTGTGTTTCTCCAATCTTCATCTCAATCTCATTAATCTGAACTTGTATGGCACTTTTCATTTGTTCCATTCGTTCCATCTCATGCTTCGTGCTTTCACGGTTGCTCTCCAGCTCTTCCTGCTGTCTCAAAGTTTCATATCTGATCATCTCCAAGTTTTGTCGCTCTGTCATTATTTCATCACGCTTTTGCTGCAGGCTGCTTTGCTCTGCTTGGAGGTCGGACCTCATTTGCTCAACCCTCTCCCTCTCTCTGTTCACCTCCTCTTTATTCCGATCCATTCTTTCACGGATGTGATCTATCTCGGCTTTCATGTGAGTGATGGTTCTCTCCAGTTGCCCTTTCTCTGTGGTCATTCTGGTTATTTCATCTTGCTGTCTCTGAATCTTCTGCTTCATGTTGTCTATCTCAGTTCTTTCCTGTTTAGTTCCTTCCCATAGTTTCTCGATCTGCTCAATAGCACGCATCGTCTCAAATCTACGCCTTTTTAGCGAGTCTTTTCTCTTTTGGATGTCACTTGAAAGCCCACTCTTGTCCTCTAGTCTTCTTTTTTCTCTGGGAGAACTAGGTGGACTTCCTGTCTCGGTTTGTGTGTGTTTAGTGTTTCGCTGTCTCCACTCTGTAAATGATTTATACAAATATGTTATTATATGCAACACTGCAATGCTATTTTTTATTATTATAAGCAGGGATGGGCAGCATTTGATATATTTATTTCAAATACGTATTTGAAATACAAAATAATATTTTGTAATTTGTATTTGATAGGGTTTATGAAAATGGCTTAATATTTTGTATCAAAATACTTTAGTGTCTTGTATTTTTGTATTTTTAAAAATTCTTCAAAACACTTGGTAAAAAGTCTACATGATGACATCACAAAAATGCACCCTTAGATTGGAGCTTTCTCAGATATTTGTCTTGGCTTGAAAAGAAGGTGGTCAATACTTGGGGTATAGATGGAAATAATACAACACATAAAGAAAATAACAGACAAATGGCATGGGTATATTTAGGAGCAAGTCAACAATCACTAAAAATACTTTACTGCACAATGCCTAGACCAGTACTATATAATGTCAGTATAGTGTGCAATTCAGCATCAGCATCTTTGCTTAAGAAATGAGTTGGAATAAAGTAACAGTCCTTAAGAACAGGATGAAGAGCCTTCAGCACATATTCATTTTTAGTCTCAGTGCTGCAGGTGCTCTGTATAGTTAATGAAGAAGAAAGATGTCTGTCTAAAGATGTCAAAGCAGCACAGTACATTATATGAGACACAAATACAGTATATAATAATACTCCAGTCTATACAGACTAACGGCTGTTTCACACCGCAAGCGTCAGCAGCGCGTGAGCAGAGCGTGAGCAGCGCGTGTTTTTTCGGTGTCCATGTTAACAGTTTAGAGCTTTCATACCACACGCAGCAGCAGCGCGTCAGTGCAAGGCGTGAGCGTCGCTAAAGCAGCAGTGCAGCGATAGTTTCGGCGCTGGGTCTATTTTTGCTGCGCTGCTCACGCTCAATTAAAGTGACAGTGCATTGATAATGACCAAAACACATTGAATGACAGTAAAAAGTAGCAATTTTACCCAATAAATGCGTTAATAATGTCAACTGACTTGTATATAGTCAATCAAATGAACTTAAACGATTAAAAACTGCAACAAACATTTATTTAGGCCTCAACTACAAAACCAAATGTAAAACAATTTTAGAATCAGTTTTGCACGCTAGTGTTTCAAGGAGAGGGGAAATAGAATATTCAGGGGAGTTGTAGTCCATAACGAAGTGTATTGTGGGTAGTGTAGTTCGACACGCATGCTGGATTATGTGAGCTCGCTGTGTGCTGTGCAGCAGAGGAAGAACGTTTTATTCGGCTTTGTTTTATGTTTACTCAATTTATTCCTACCGGGAGCTGTTTGCACTGTGAACCTGACAACACGAAAATAAGTAAAAGAAGGGCATGCATTAATTACTTTTGTCCGTCTCATCCTCTGCACAAGAATGAATTAACAAGCTGTTATTCTGCCGCTGGACATCACTGAAGCGGAGAAAGTAACACTAGTTTGATCATAAATATCATTATAACTATATTGTATAAATATTATTATAATTATAGGCCTACAGCAACCTGACAATCAAAAACCAAATGACATGATTTCACAGGCGATTGTCCTCTGACTGAAGACACTTCTCAAAGAGCTTGGGAATCATATAGTACTATTTGATCTATAAAATTTGTAAAATAAACATTTGCAGGTTAAAGAAACAGCATAGAAGGAAGTTGCCGCGGGGCTTGGTGCAGATGAAAAGTTTAAAAAGTTTATAAAGAGAGACATAGGTAGCTAGATAGAATAGACAGAGATAGATTGATCTCTGCAGCAGCTGCCGAAGAGCTGCGCACTGCAGACAAAGCTGGTGTGAAAGGCAAACGCCTGCATGCTGCTTCTGCTCGACATAATCAATGTCAAAATCAATTGAAATTCATGCTCAATCTCAATGATCAAATAAAAAAAATTAAATCGTCAATAGTGCCATGCCCCCATTTCATGAAAAAAAAACATGCTTGTTAAACTGCTGCGAGTAAACCTAACTGCTACAAAAAACAGCCAAAAGATAGCTTGGCAACTGCAGACACAGGACACCCATCGGCAGAACTTGAGCCCTCTCCTGTTTTACTGAAGTCGCCGGTCTGGAAGTATTTTGGATTACCACTGAGTTACGTTAACAACGTTTGTATTGTCGACTAAAAAAAAAGCACAGTTTGCAAGCTCTGCTATGTACATATACCACATTATTCCACCGGCAGAACGACTAACATGGCAGGGCATATCTCCGCAAGCACCACAAAAACATAGATTTAAATTTAAGTAATCTCTTTATATATCACCCTTTTAAAATATAAGAGAAGAGATGGTTGTAATTTTACTTACCATCCAATGAAAACACAATGAAGACATAAAGTACTATATTCCTACTTAATATCTGCATTATATGGTTTTTACAGTGATTAAAGAGATCAAGACAGGACTTTCTGTATGAAATTGTATGCAAAATTTATATTAAAATGAAAGAGAAACAAAGGTTTATGAATAAGCTGCAGCATGTTCCTGCACATCTGTAGAGGCTGGAACGCATTTCTACACTGAAAATAAAAAAAGATTTCTGCACAATTATTGCAAACAATTTATATGGGTTGAATTTAAACAAACAGACTATATTTAGCAATGTTCAAATTAGTTTGTTTAAATTCAACCCAAATAAATTGTTTACATTCATTTAACTTTAAAAAAGCTTTGTAAATCATCGAATTTTTATTTATTTATTTATTTATTTATTTATTTATTTATTTATTTTGTGTAGGACCCTCTGCATTTTTAGGACCCTGTTGTTCTTGAATCGTCCAGCAGGGGGTGGTTGGGTTTAGGAGTAGGGGTGAGGTAGGGTCATAATATGGGGTCCTAATGCAGAAATGAAACTGCAGCCTATCTGGTTGTGCAGGATCACCAGCAATATTTATTGGCTGAGTGCCACAGCAGTAGCACACATTTCACATTTTTGGTGACTTAATTGAAACCATAACAGAAAAATGTTTATTTGCTGATACCTTGTTTTTAATTTTTATTCATTTAGATAGCTTTATCTATATAGAGTGCTATAATAAAAAAATATTTAAATGTCTTTGCTAAGATGGCCAGCCAATTTTTTGAAAACTCTTTGATTATTTTGTATATTATATAGAGATTCAGTTCTGAGTTGCAGTTACATTAATGACAACATCACTCAATGACATCAACTTCCTCTGAAAACTACTTGGAAACAGTACTTCCAACTAAAGCTAAATATTGAGTAAGGGTGTGGGCTTTCTTTTTGTGCATCATTCCCTTATAGCAAAATAAAGGTAAAAGAGGTGTGTGAATAATAATATTGTGGCTGAAACCATACAACTCATAAGCCATCATAAGAAATGCCACTCCAAACACAGAAGCAAATTATTACAAAACAAACATTTCTTTCTTCGGTGAGTTAACTTCTAGATTAATTGTTCACCTAAAGAATAACAATGTGCACTAGCAAAATAAACACTGTAAATTTTGATTTGACACATACTTTAAAGTTTCACATTCATAATAAAAAAAGATTTGCCTTTAGGTTATTGCAGAAATCCCTGGCTCTCGTTTTTGGTATTAAGATGCATTTTAGTGAAATGGATCACAAGACAGGGAAGGCAAGTGTTTACACCTTAATAATTCATCTTAATAAACTGCTTTTCTGATTTATCTAACCTATAGGTAGGTGGATGTACAGTATGTATTTTCTGATGTCATTTCAATTTAATATTCATAAAATGTTGCATTATAATTGCAAAAGGAGACAACAGAAAAACATATAGAGAACAGTAACTTTCATTTTTGTTTTGATATTGCTCATAGAACATTAATTTTTTTTTTCCCCGTTGAACCAAACTCTCATCTTCAGATGGCAGAGTTTAATATCCCCTCCAGTAGTGGATGCAGATATATTCCAATGCAGATATATTAATAGCTAACTATAGAAAATAGCCAGTGCTTGGCTGTTCACGTATATTAAAGCAATTTAGTTAAATCATGTTTTACTATTACTACAAATGGTCAAGAGTAGACAAACTCAAAGCATTTTAGACTAGTAATACAGTTGAAGTCAGAATTATTATCGCCCCCTACCCCCCACCCCAAAATTATTAGCCCCCTGTTTATTTTTCCCCCCAAATTTCTGTTTAACGGAGAGAATATTTTTTTCAACACATTTATAAACATAGTTTTAATAACTCATTTCTAATAGCTGAATTATTTTATCTTTGCCATGATGACAGTAAATAATTTTTGACTTAATATTTTTCAAGACACTTCTATACAGCTTAAAGTAGCATTTAAAGCCTTAACTAGGTTAATTAATATAATTATCAAGAACAAATATAGCTTAAAGGGGCTAATCATTTTGTGCCAAAAATGGTGTTTAAAAAAAAAATATATATATATATATTTTATTCTAGCCAAAATAAAACAAATAAGACTTAAAAAATACTATCAGACATAATGTGAAAACTTCCTTGCTCTGTTAAACATTATTTGGGAAATATTTAAAAAAGAAAAAAAAAGTTAAAGCTAATAACTCTGACTTCAACTGTATACACTGTATAAATCAATTACAGCAAAAATACTGTATTAACATTTACAGCACCATTTATCTTGCTGTATATGTATTTTCAGTATTGTATATCTTTACTGTAAAATATAATGTAATTTCAGAACTCATAACTGTCCAACAATAAAATGATATTACAGTTAAATACTGCATAATATACAAAAACCATTAATATTGTATCAAAGAATTCTCAAACAGATGCAGTTCTTGTTTAATCAATGACATTATTGCTATCTACTAAAATGAATGAGATTTTCTAACCTAGTTCTTGAATGAGTTCAGGTTCTGTCATTCTCAGGATGAGATGGAAGGACACACTGTTTATGGCTGGCTCTTTTTCCAAAGCCTCAAACAGGAGCCGCATTGCCCCCTGCTGAGTTGCAGCAGCCAGCACTTTTTGCGCCGCCGCTTCATGGATCAGACTTTGGGAGATTACAGCCTCAGTAATGTCACTGACTCGAGTTGCTCTCGCAATAATCTGCTCCTTGAATTCTGTCAGGAAATCTCCAACTGTTGGGAAAAAAAAAACATTTGCAGTATGTTTATAAATGATACAATCACAATCAAGTTGTATTAAATTAAGAGGTGCAGTGAACTTTACCATAGTCTCTGGATTCTGCCATGGCTGCTTGCTACATGTTTTTAAATGACTGTTGTGTGTGGGTTGTGGTCTGAAAAGTAACAAGAAAGTGGATATTACAATATTAGCAAAATAATATTAATAACTATAAATTAATAATGCAAATAAGTGCAACATAATTATGTAAAGGCTTTTACAATTTTGTAAAATGCAGAATACAAGTCACAATTATAAGCCCTCCTGTGAATTTATTTTCTTTTTGAACTATTTCCCAATTGATGTTTAACAGAGGGATTTTTCACAGTAGTTCCTTTAATATTTTTTCTTCTGGAGGAAGTCTTATTTGTTTTATTTTGGCTAGAATAAAAGTAATTGTTTTATTTTTTACAACCATTTAAGGTCAATAGGGGAGTGCTGGGCACAAAGTAATGCAGTGTAAAACTTAACACAAAATTTTAAGGCATTTGCTCAGGGTTAACCATTGCATGCTTTAGAGGTTTACCTGCCAATTATTAAAAAAGTTTGGTGAAATTTGGATGAGAAACACAGGAGAAATTATTTTATGCAGCATAAAAGTATTTTTTATTGCAGTCAATTTAAAAGGGAAAAAAGGTGAAAGTATGTATGTAAAATCTTATTTTGTTGTGATCACCATCTTCAGTGCTAAAAGATGGAATTATTTTAAAAGATGTAAAAACCACAGTGACAGCTAGCCAGTTTTGAGGAAAACACAACACAGCGGGGTTAGTTGTAACAGGGTATTACAAATAAGCAACAAACTGTTGGATAGCTAAAAAAAAAAAAAATACTTTTACATTTTGAGTGTAATGTTGAGATATTTTTTTATGTAAAATTTTATTATTAGTTTTTATTTAAAGAAAATATTAATATAAAAAAGACATGTTATTACTAATAATGCAAATAAATGTATCATGTAATAATGTATAATAATGCAAATAAACTCACATGTGTTGATCCAGTAAATAAATAAATAAACATGCTGTACTATGTAGAATTTTAAAAATTAAGTACAGAGAAAATATACTTTTTTTTAAGTAAACTGACTTTAAATTAATTGTGTGAAATCTAATTCTTTAAGTATGTGTTACAACTAACCCTCTGTCTGTTACAACTTGCCCAGCTGGTGGGGTAAATGGTAACATTTTTAGTCCTGGCACTTTTGGCAATACTGCACAAAAACCCTAGATCCGGCGATCACACTTTCAGTGCTCATGTGTAGGAGAGGCTTGTGTGTTATTGGTAAAAAAAAATGGTTTGTTTAATCCCAATACTTTGCTCATGATTTTCCCAAAATCAAAAGGTGTTACTTTGTGCCCTGCTCTCCCCTATTATTAGCCCCATTAAGCATTTTTTTCCGATTGTCTTCAGAACAAACCATCATTATACAATGATTTGCCTAATTGCCTAATTAACCTAGTTAATCCTTTAAATGTCACTTTAAGCTGTATAGAAGTGTCTTGAAAAATATTTAGTCAAATATTATTTACCGTCATCATGGCAAAACTAAAAGAAATTAGTTATTAGAAATGAGTTATTAAAACTATTATATTTAGAAATGTGCTGGAAAAAAACGTCTCTGCGTTAAACAGAAATTGGGGGAAATAAACAGGGGGCTAATAATTATAAAATATATATAAAACACTTTTAAAGTATTGTATTTATGTGCAAAAATTAAAGAGCCTAATTATTGTATTACTGTATTTGTTATAGACTTTTTTCTTTCTTTCTTTTCAGATTTTTCTCTTAAACTGAATTACAAATAAAATATATACATATAATCCAAAAACCTGCCTGGACACCTACCTAAGACATTTCACAAGAAACTGATAATATTCATATTAGATTATTACAAATATTCTTACCTTCTGTCTTATCACTGCATTTAGTTCTGTAGATGGATGTGTTGTGATGATGGAGGCATATTGCTGTAATAACAGTGGAGGTGACTGAACATTTAAAAAACAACCCTTATCTTACTTCAGCACATGCATTACATCTACGTAATTTGCGCAAAACTGCACAGCTTTGGATTTCCTGCGTTTGATTGGCTGTGGAATGTAACACAACTTCTGTCTGGTGTTCTCTGATAAAGGCAGTGTGAGGACTGTACAGGTCCACCCCTGACATGTCAAGTCTCCCCTGCAAGATGCATTTGAAGTGATTATTTATGGAAATAATATTTGTTGTTGTTGTTTTAATCCCTAAAGGTTTTAAATATATAAGACATAAAAGGGTGAAATAATACAGACCAAACTGTCTTCTCTTGTTTATTTAAATTTCTAATAGGGTTCCATAGCTAGGGTCGAACAATGTGGACCTGTTAGTGATGTGCTTGTTTGTTTGTGTATTATTTATTTCAAATGAAGTAAATTATCTGTGTTTGTATATTTCTAATCTTTACAAAACTATAGCTATCTTCAGCAAAGTATAACCATGTGACAGCAGCAGTCTAGATAGAGGTTAAGTTGGTTTTATATACGGAAATTCAGATATTCTCATTAATAATATAATTTCAGAAAGTATTCTTTGCAAATTCCAAATAGGGAAATCATATTAGCAGCAAATGACTATCAAAGTACAACATGGTTCACAGTGAATTAGATACTAATAATGTTGTTTAGAAGTCATGCTTGCATGCTAATTCAGATCGAACATTCAAAGTAACATAGTAAACTATGGTAATCTATCTAGAATGTTGTGATTTAATCCTTACAAAATTTTATGTATGCTATATGCTACTTGTTTGAGCTTATCCAAACAATAGAATGTTTTAAAAGCGAGTAGTTGTCATCCATACATTGTAATGCATAAAAATAGTATTTTAAATAATTTCATAGTTGACTTAAAGACAATAAAGCTGAATGTTAGATAGTTTCTCTTTCTGCTACTGTTATTTCCTCCCTAAATAAACTCGAAAAACCTTAATTCAACTGAGACTTTTACTATTGTGTGGGCTGCTATTTCGGGCTTTTATTCTAGGTGGTTATGCTGGATTTATGAAGTTACTTCCGTTTTCTGAAGCTAGCTACTCGGCGGCTATCTGCAGGCGGAGGCAGAGCTCTTCTCACCAGCGTGTGTCCTGTTAAACTGACAAAACGTCTTACGCAATGAGGTACGAACTGATTTATCATTTATAGTTAAACAATCTTTTTGATTAGGTTATAAACCGAATTATAGCAAAATACTGTATGTTGTGATATTTTATACATTTTTTTCAAAGATGCTAAGCTAACATGTTAGCATGTTCTGCTAGCCCCTTTGTCGGTTTTTAATCAATACAGTAACTAAATAAACACTTTTATTAGTAAAGTTTTTCCGGTTATAGTCATAATTCTGGATTTTCTATACATATTGTGTTATTTGCAAAACGATGTGTTCCTGAAAAAAAAACCGAGAGCGTTTATGAATGAATGAACGCCGTGCTTTTATTCGAACAATACTGCTATCTAATTTGTGATATTTATTTTTTTATTTGGGTTTTAAATTAAACTTTAAAAAATCCAATTTTGGGTTATCGCTGGACATCATTATTTATTTATTTGTATTGCACTTGCTGAAATTACGTTTTTATTTCTCAGAGGAGATCGTGGCAGGGGCCGAGGTGGCCGGTTCGGCTCCCGCGGAGGTTTGGTCCAAGGGTAAGATTTCATGACCATATTGTTTTGACCCCCTTACTTAAATTTGGTTATATTGTAATAATTTTGTAACCTGTGACTTCTCTTGTCTCAGGTATCGGCCCTTTGTCCCTCACATACCATTTGACTTCTATGTTGTAAGTACATTTATTGCTTTTCTGATTTGTGGGGAGGAAAAACAGCCTTTTTAAGCCCAGAGCTCATGACAACTTGCTTTTGTACAGTGTGAGATGGCCTTTCCTCGAGTGAAGCCGGCCTCTGATGAGACTGCTTTCAGTGAATGTCTGTTGAAGAGGAACCAAGACCTCAGTCCAACCCCCTCTGAACAGGTATGGTCATAAACTATTATGAAAACTGCACACTCCATGACTTCTGCCCTTTCATGCTAAAGGGATAGTTCACCCAAAAATGAATGTCGTTGACATTTACACTCGTTCAACTTGTTCCAAGCCTGTTTGAATTTCTTAATTTGGTTGAACACACCAAAAAATGCTGGTTTCCCATATTCTTAAGAATATCTTGTTTTGTGTTTAACAGAAGAAATTCGTTAACGTTTAGTACCCCTTGAGTGGGAGTAAATTATGGAATTGTAATATATATATATATATATATATATATATATATATATATATATGAGCAATTCCATGAAAATGTCAACCTTGCCATGAAAAGAAAAATGTTTTTCACCAAAATAGCGAAACCGTTCCTACATTTTTTGCGCAGGCAAGTGTTTTACAGTACTTTAAAAATACTTAAAAATGTCTCTGTCAATGTTTTCAAACTAATTTATTTGATTTACCAAAGTCAAACAAATGGCAATTTCACATCCGTCACATCCATAACGAAAAAGTGTCACATCCATAGCAAAGATTTTCCCTCAAAAATGCAAAAATGTCAAAATAAAATAAAATAAATCAGTTTTGTTCTATAAAGAGCCAACTCTTATCCTTTTGTTGAGAATTATTTATTTTAGGTTGTGCAGTTTAATTCACAGATTTTTTTTAACGAAATAAGTTGTATACTGTAAACTCGCAGACTTTTTTTGTCACATCCATAACACTTGTTTATTTTCCTCATTTAAAGTATAAAAATGTTCACAGATTGAATTTTTTTGATCCCAGAACTCTGTGGTTAGTTGTTTTGGAAAATATAAACGGATGATTCAATATAATGTTAAAATATACTTTCTCTGCAAATTTATGTTTTGAATTTTTACTGCAAATGTCACATCCATAACGCTGGAATCAGCCCTATATATATATATATATATATATATATATATATATATATATATATATATATATATATATATATATATATATATATATATTATATATATCCGATAAGGTCTCAACATCCTCTATTAATTTTTAAAGATTGTGAGCTGTTACACATTTGGTTTTGACCTAGAATAGATGCATAAAATGTGATATTGTATTAGGAGTGCAAAAGCAAACCAATTTTTGATTGCATTATTAACAAATTACAGCAAATTTTTTCTTCATTTTTGTCACAGGCTTCCATTTTGTCCTTGGTCACCAAAATTAACAACGTCATTGATAACCTAATTGTGGCACCTGGAAACTTTGAAGTGGTAAGATATTTCAGTAAAACATTATTATTATTATTATTAATGCCTTTCAAAATATTTTATGTATATGTTTTTAGACTTATTTAATGAAAGTTTGATAATCCCTTTTTCAGCAAATTGAGGAAGTAAGACAAGTGGGCTCCTATAAAAAGGGCACCATGACTGCAGGACACAATGTTGCTGACCTTGTGGTTATCCTGAAGATTCTGCCCACCTGTAAGTCTTGAGATTTCTATGAGGCCAACATGTTGCTCCTAGCCCAAGTGTACTTGGTTTATCAGTAATGTTTACGTGTTCTTGTTCAGTGGAAGCTGTTGCCGCCTTGGGAAACAAAGTTGTTGAGACCCTGCGAACCCAGGACCCTTCTGAGGGTGAGTATAGGCTTTAATCTGGCAGACCTGTAGTTTCAGGGAGGGAAAAAAAATCCGACTTGCTTGCCATTCTCACTGATGCATTTTCCTCTTCTCCCCAGTGTTGTCCATGCTGACAAACGAGACTGGATTTGAGATCAGCTCTGCCGATGCCACAGTAAAAATCCTCATCACCACTGTCCCACCCAATCTGCGCAAACTGGACCCAGAGCTTCATTGTATGTCACACTCTTTTAAACATTGATCTTGTTTGTGACTTGCGTTAAAAAATGATAACTTTTCTTGGAGATGTAATCTACCTAATTATCACTATAGCACTCTTTATTGTCAGTACTGTGCACACTTGTTTTGTCTGTTTGCATTTAGATTATCTTTCTATGATTTAATGGCCATTAACAATTTAACACTGATAAGAAAGTCTTTACAAATGAAAAAACGTCCCCCCCCCCCATTATATACATTTACAATTTTCATTTATTTGTAAAATTTTAAGCAATTTTATTGTTAATACTTTTGTTTTTAGTAATTTGCAGAGGTTTAGTATTGGGAATGTATTATTATTATTGGCCATAGCAGATATAATAATAATAATACGGATTTTACGGCCAGGTTCCCACAATTTCATAAACAGCAGATTTAAGGACTATTGACCTTTTAAAGCAGAGGTTCTCAAACTTTTCAGCCTGCAACAAAAAAAATAACAATGCCAATGACTAGCGACCCCCACTATTTTCTAAAGTAGTTATAATCATATCATACAAATGTTGCACGCAACGGCTCACACAAACCAACAGGCCTATATAAACACAAGCATGTTGACAACACAAAAAGTGCAACAGTCTTAACAATAGTATAAATTTATTTTTATTTATTAATTTTTTATTTATTTAATATTAACCTCATCTAATGAGACTGGTGGGCACAATATTTAAGTTACATCACAAGTCTTTTTTGGGGTTAATTTTGGAGACTGACACTTAAAGGTCATCCTCGATGTTTAGTTGTGGCCTGTATTTATTATAAATGTGGGTGCCGTAAAGATGTTTAAGTTTAGCTTTAAAATCAATCTGTTGCTACTGACGCTATTGCTTTGTTATTAATCTAATGTAAAAACCCACAGAGTTTCAATCCAATAGGAAACAATTAAAGGCTGATGGCTTTTTGTTTGGTTGTTGCATTTTTAAATGACTAATTTTATCTTCTATATAGATAAACAATGGTAATTAAAAAAATTTATTCAAATTTATTTGATTTTTTAGAAATTCACAAGCGACCCACTTTCATTCTCCCACTGCCCCCCATTCCCCAGCATATGTATAGCGCCATGAAAGTACTTACTGTACATTTCACTTACACCTTTATTCACTTTAATATTGTCAGTCATTTTCAGAAATTAACCGTTTTAAAAAGTCATGCTCAAAAAACTTTAATAAAATGTGTTCGGTTAAATACTGGTAATTCAATTGCGGTTTCTGAAAGGCTGATAAAACGCACATTATTTGTCAGTGTTATTGTACAAACGTAAAATTTAGGATTTATAATTAAAGAATTTCTGTTCTTGACAATTGAGTACAATTGTTTAAATAAAACCATGAACAAATTCAAATTTTATTCTAGCACTTTCAAGGACCTGTGTTTGTTTTTAAGTGCTTTCAAGGTCTTGAATCCATGTGTATGAAATTTAAGTAGTTTCAAGGACTGTGGGAACCCTGTTAACAGCTATTCATTTCCTTTTTTTTTTATTTTGCAGTGGACATCAAGGTTCTGCAAAGTGCTCTGGCAGCCATTCGTCACGCTCGTTGGTTTGAGGAGAATGCTTCTCAGTCAACGTAAGGACAATTACATCTTTTAGACCCTGATATTAACATACATTTTTCCGTGATATTGATCACAAGTTGTCAACTAGAGAACATAACCATATACAGTGCCTATAGAAAATCCTTCATACACTGTTACAATCTATACCTTTAAAAGCTATTTGGAGTGTGATTTGATTTTAGGCTGTATGACAGTAATTATTTCATGATGATTTTCTATAGGTGCTGTACACTTTGTATTTATATTTTTTTTAAATGTAAGTCTCTTTTGTGATCACTTTTGAATCAAAATAAGTATGAAGGGCCTCCTAACGCAAGTGCTACTTAATGAATACACCTATTTTTTTAAACTGACAAGTGAAAAGCAAGCTATAAGAAAGTGATCATCGGCTGCAATTTTGATATTAATCCATGTGTTTTTAGTACAACTCCTTGAATTGAGTACACTTTTGCTATGTAATAATCGTATAGTATTTTGTGGTGTCAGAATGCGTTTGGAAACTATCTGATGATGAAAGCTATCTGATCCATCTTCATAAATATTCAACAGTGGACAGGCTGAAAACTGATTTAGACTCCATTTATCTTTTATACTTGTGGTCAAACACATTTTAACAGCAAGTTTAAACTGAGTATGTTTACATGGACCAATAATCTGATTTTATTACGATTAAGACAATACTCTGATTAAGAGTTTACCATGTAAACAGATTTTGATTAATCTGATTTAGGTCATAATCAACCTTACAGAAATGGAATTAAGACGTGGAATAAGCCTATTTTAGTGGCATTATTGATGTGCAGTACAGACATGTAAACACTGCACTCAAACTATTATCGTCGTGTTGGATTTTTGCTGCATTTTGCGACAGGATAGTCTATACACATGGCTGTTTGACACTTCTCTGCACCAACTGAGTCTGTAAAGCCCACTGATACACAAATCGCAATATGCGGAGGTATTTTCCCATACGGCGTATTAAATTCCATTAAAACAACACTCCTCTAGAAGTTCATACTTGCATGCAATATCTCATTTGTCACGGCATGCATGGAATATATCTGAATGAAAGTGAAAGTGCCAAAACTGCAGTTAAAGTCGACACATGAAAAATAAAACACCCGAAATTACATGAAACTAAGAAAAAGAAATGTGGATAGCATGGTGGCGCAATGACCTTAATCCAATTATGTGCTATAACATGTATAACGGGATGAAAGGAACGTTCAAAAAGCAACTCATGTATGCACTTTAATCATATTATTGTCTTATTCAGATTAAGGCAAATAATTCCAGTACTGATATCCATGTGAACATAAGTGTTTTGTTTAAAAAAAAAAGTCTCTTGTGTCTTACTCTGGTTTCTATATTCCCTCAGTGTGAAAGTTCTGATTCGCTTGCTGAAAGACATTCGAGTCCGATTCCCTGGATTTGAGCCCCTCACTCCCTGGATTCTGGATCTGTTGGTGGGTTCCCTTATCGGAGTCTTGAGTTATTTTGATATTTCTCTGCACTACACTGAGACTTAAATTGTAATGTTCTCTTCTCAGGGACACTCTGCTGTCATGAACCATCCCTCTAGGCAGCCTTTGCCACTCAATGTTGCCTACAGGTAAAGCCTCTACTAGTTTAAGCAGCTGATATTTACTCTTGATTTGGGCTTCAGGGTTAGATATTTATGTTTTAATGGAATGTTTTTCAGGCGCTGTCTTCAGATGCTTGCCGCAGGTCTTTTCCTGCCTGGTTCTGTAGGAATCACTGATCCCTGTGAAAGCGGAAACTTCCGTGTGCACACCGTCATGACCCTGGAGCAGCAGGTAATGCAGATGGAGTCAAGGTGGTATTGCATCACTAGTGGTGAACATACAGATAATCTGATAACTTGTTTCTGCAGGACATGGTGTGTTTCACAGCCCAAACACTGGTGAGGGTTCTCTCTCACGGAGGATACCGGAAGATCTTGGGCCTTGAAGGAGATGCTAGCTGTGAGTTTTTAGGTTTATTCCAGGCTAAATGGATTTGTGGAAATTGTTTGTGACCGATGTTTGTGATGCTCTTCTGCAGATCTTACTACTGAGATGTCTACTTGGGATGGAGTGATCGTTACGCCATCTGAAAAGGCCTACGAGAAACCTCCAGAGCGCAAGGAAGAGGAGGATGAAGCGCTGGAGGAAGGTGTAGAAGCAGAAGATGAAAGCATGGAGACCCAGGAATAATGCAGGGGTCTCTCAGCCCTTTGGCTCAGTTGTATTTATGTTGTTGTTTTTATTTTTTAAATATTAGAAACCTGTTCCATTTCTAAATTGTTTTGCCCAGAAGTCTCCTGCACATTGGTTTCTGTAAGTTTGTCTGCATCTTCTACAGTTAAACTCATGGTAGTAAACCGCTACAACAACTTCTCACCACAGTTCATTCTGTTACGGTTATGTTTGGGAAGCAACGTGGAAATCATTTACTTTGTTTTCGTCTGTTTTTGATTTATATTTTTATCATGATTGAGCAAGTAAAATTTTTTATTTCCTTTTTACTATGTGTCTGCATTCATTTATTTGCGTCTTATGGCTGTATGCAGTGTTGTTCTGTATTGGCGTGGTTTGACTTTGCTGTGTCTGAAATCGCATACTTCAATACTATATAGTACAGAAAAAAGGTTTGTAAGCAGAGTAGTATGTTTGAATTAATAGATTTCGAAAAACAGTACGCAAGAAGTACCTGGATTACTTACTACTTCCGGTGAGATTTGGAAGTGTGTGCATGATAGATGCTATGCTGTCCGATGATGCACCACAAGACAATTCATAAATGGGAGTAAAGCAACTCAACTGATGGGGGTAGGTCACGTGATCACAAAATGGTGGATGTAGTATGGCGAGTTCCATTTATACTTAATTTATCACATTCATACTGTCAAGAACATACTTTTCTAACGGTAGAGTGGTAAATTTAAATTCAAATGCAGTACCTATTGAGTAGGTGATTTCCAATGCGGGCTTTATATTGACCGGTTAACTTTAAAAGTGAATGGTTTTTAAAGGCACAATGTCTTTTTTGCCACTAGAGCGTGTGTAGTAACAAGAAATGGACTGCCAAAATCACCTTTATGGATGATTTAAAATATTTTTAAAATGGTCATGGTAGTGATGCAGAGTATGGCTGAACTATTAAAGTGAAGCTGGATGCTGAACCAATTGCTCTGGGGACCCCAATGACTTCCATAGTTGACAAAAAAGTAATTTATATCAATGTTCACAGGTTTCCAGCTTTCTTTAAATATCTTTTGTGTTTAACTGAAGAAAGAAATTCAAACCGGTTTGGAACCAGTGAAGGCTATATAAATGATTACCGATATTTCAGTTTTTAGAGAATTATACCTTTAAGGATAAAGCAACCAACATGTTTGGGTTCACCTTTTAAAAAAAGTATAAAACCAGGTTAAAATACTCTGTATATTTATTTAATTTTTATTGGGCTATGTGCACAAACTTAATTTTCAGCCAGGCAGCCTAAGGGCTTCTGATGAACTGACTTTTTGTCTGATTTCTTTTAAAATCATCGATCCTCATTGCCTGTTAGATATACGATATGAAATAGTGCTTCTTGTCCGACCTGAGACCCGTTTCATATTCCATTTCCCCCAGCCATGTCTTAAAAACATGACAGTTGTCATGTATACAGTTGACCCCTGTATTTTCAATGGAATTTTTGTGCTAGCCTGTTCCTATGACGGCGCAAGTGGTTAAAACGGTCTTTCATCTCATTTTACGCACGAACAACTAAATTAATGTTTAAGTCTATTTAGCTGAATGTAATGTAATTACATTACAACATCGATGCTGTAATTTATGTATTTTTAAACTTTATTTGTTAACCTTAAATTGAAAATCACATTAAGCTTTCACCAGAAGTTTATCGTTGGTTTTAAAATTTTAGCTGTGCATAGAGCGCAGTAGGTAGTGCTGTCGCCTCACAGCAAGAAGGTCGCTGGGTCACTGGTTCGAACTTCGCCTCAGTTGTGGCGTTTGCATGTTCTCGCGTGGGTTTCCTCCGGGTGCTCCGGTTTCCCCCACAGTCCAAAGACATGCGGTACAGGTGAATTGGATAGGCTAAATTGTCCGGTGTGTGTGTGTGTGTGTGTGTGTGGATGTTTCCCAGAAATGGGTTGTGGCTGGAAGGGCATTGACTGTGTAAAATCTTGCTGGATAAGTTAGCGGTTCATTCCGCTGTGGCGACCCCGGATTAATAAAGGGACTAAGCCGACAAGAACATGAATGAATGAATTAGCATTTATGGACATATAGGCTAATGTTTATTAACGTTACACTGAACCGAAGGGTCTCCCGAGGTAGAGAAAAAAAACAAGTATCTTTGTTAAACTCAGTTTCTTTTTTATCAGTAACATAAAGCTATGGCAAAATAAATATAGTTTGTGTTCTCTAGATACACGAAAGGCTTATGGAAAGACGTGAGGGTAAGTAAAAAAAAATAGTTTTTTGGGTTCTTTGCTAGCCTAATGCTAATTGTAATAGCCCACAGATTAACGACCACAACACATTAATACAATAATTCAATTTATATTAAACTAAATATGAAATGAATGTCACACCAAATCTCCCCAGATGGCATACAGTTCTGGGCCAACCAAGGCATATATGGCTCACTTCTGGCAATGGCAGGAGATGGGCCAGATATGGCCCGTGTGTGACACAGCTGGTGTAAAGTGAGTTCAAGGTCAAGGTAAAATTTGTCTCCCGTAGGAGAAATTTGTTTTAGAAAAAAGGTTCTGCTGTACCTAGACACCAACAAGACAACATGTAACATACATACACAATAAAATCTAATCCTAAAATACCTCCTAATATAAAGTTGTGGCCTGTTGTATGTGGGCCAGATGTGGCCCGTGTGTGATACACCAGGTGTGGTCTGAGTTGTGGCCTGTTGTATATGGGCCAGATGTGGCCCGTGTGTGATACACCAGGTGTGTTGTGAGTTGTGGCCTACTGTAAGTGGGCCAGATGTGGCCTGTGTGTGACACATCGGGTGTAGTGTGAGTTGTGGCCTACTGTATGTGGGCCAGATGTGGCCCGTGTGTGACACACCGGGTGTGATGTGAGTTGATTGTTCACTTTGCTGTAACGCTAGTGGCGTTTTAATTAATAAACATCGATTCAGGGACTTGATCAACAGACACTTTAAACGGGCTTTTCAAAGGACTCGTTTTGATTTTATTTACGCCCTGGTTGTTAACTTTATTGTTATAATTATTATTTTATTTAATTTTAGGGCAAACAACAAATTCCTAAATTACAATATGTGAATGTGTGAGGTGAAAAACATCCCACATTTTTATGAGGCGTTAGTCTCGTATGCTCTGTTTACATAAACCTGTTTATTATATAAATATTATTTAATTGTATTTGAAAATTTTATTATGTCTTAATATTTTGTTTTACTTGCATTTACACAGTTTTGACCAGCAGGCGTCACCAAAAATGGCTTTTTGTGAGGACATTTTGTTTTTCAAAAGGTTAATGGAAAACACAGAGTTCAATTAATGAACGTATTGTTAAGAAAAGGAGCAGAACAGAACACTAAAAGCGGACAGCAGTTATTGTACCTTGCTAAAATAGCTTTATAGTAATTTTTAGAAAATGTTTACAACCGTTGACAATATTACATTCTGTGTTTAGGTTTACCACATCACAGTGTGCCATCTCTCTGATTTAATTCTAGTAGACATTGAGCTGTACATCAGTGGCGAGAGACCAAATAAACATGATCAACGTATGCTTCATCTGTGCCATTATTATTTATAAGGCTTGCATCCTTTTGTTTCAACAAACTGGCAAGAGATTCAGATTTATTTCAAATCTGGAAATAATATTGAAAATGGTGAAGATGTCGTAAGCTATTGCAGTTTGGTAAAACAATGTAAAAAGCATAGATACAAAATACCTTGGCACTGTATCAAACATAAATATGTGATTAGAAAAACAAGCAAAGAAAAAATACAACAACCATAAACAGTGATAACGTTAATAATTAAAATGTCCACAATGTTCCTAAAATGCAGTGTTATGAGCAACTTAATGAACATTTAAAGAACAAAAAAGGTTTTTGCTACATCACAAACTGCTCAAACATTTATAAACATATATATTTTTCTATTTAAAGAGGGACATATACTCACTCCTTGTTGTTCATTGGACGTTTTCTGTCATGTGAAAATCTGCACACAACTTCTAGAGGAGATGGGCCTAACATTAGCTGTAAATTTGTCTTCTACCGTCTTCCACTGGTATATCTTCTACATTAGCAGCAATTACGAACAAAAGAATAGATCTAAATCGGGTGGCTCTTTACACACAAACACCCTGGAGAATACAGACTTCTCATAATCATAATGGCAACACTTTTTTTCTTCTCCATTATATATGAAATCATTAATAATACCAGTAATCGTCATAACAATCCATTGAATATTAATAATAACAACTTCAAGATATATTTACTGTACATAATACAACGGAACGTGAGAAGGTATTTGTAATTACACAGTAATTGTTTGTAAGTCTATGACCCATGTAATTTCCAGTGATCAATAATGTGGTATAGAAACCAACGTAAAGTCTACGTCACACTGCTACAAGCTCCTTTGTGCTACGGAGAAATATTTATAATTTAGTCTAGCTAAAACTGTGTACGGCATATACAGAGGCTTCGCCAACACTTTTTTAAGACTCCAGTTTTCAAAGCAAGTGTTTCGCCATCCATTCCTACCTATTCAGACACGAAATGTCTCAATAAGCGACATGTTGACAAGGGAATCTTTACATGATGTAGAGACACAGCCATTAATATTGTATTTGATCCTTCAATATTCTGGAAAATGTTGGTCAAGATAGAAAGGCCATCAAAATAGTTCATTTGAGTGTCTTATTTCTGGTATGTGCCCGAGAAGGCAAGCAACTTGGTGGGGAAAAATGTGATCAGTCTTGCTTGATGTTTCGTTGGTATATCAAAATCAAATGGCCCTGATAAGAGATCATCCTATTTTTCCACACTGGAACCTCCAACAGCATGTAGTTCATAGTCTTTCAGTGATTTGAGAAGGCAGGAAGTCCTTCACAGTGGAAGAGGAAATAGTCTGTTGTGCTTTTCGGTCATCTTAGACTTGCTTTGTCCAAAAAAAAAAAAGTGTAAGTATAATTACAATAGTTTAAAGCTTACAAAATATGCATCCATAAAATGATGGATATTGTATTCATAAAATGAAATAAATAAAAACTAAAGGCAACAGCAAATAAATTAAATCATACTGCAAATGTCTGAAATAAATCATCCTGAAATTAATTGATTGATTTAAAAATTACAAATAAAAAGAAACTGATTTAGATAGAGAACTGTGGTGCAATTAATAAATACATAAATATAGTCCTGCCTTTTTTTTCTTTCAGACAGGGAATAAAGATCTACGGCTTTTATAGTTTTTTTCTTCTTCCATGGATTAATAAAAGCATGCAGGTTACAT